AGGGCACAGCGGTGTAGGAATAATAATAACAATATCGAGGTGAAGGGCTCGCTGGGTGTTGAAAGGAAGAGCGTGGAGAGCGAAATCATGTTCTCGGAGGAAGTAATTACTGCTAGTGATACTTATACACACAGTGTACGGGCTATCCTTCGTTGTTTCCAGTCGATGCATCTAGATGTCATCTACTCTGGTAAGACCCATGGCCTCAGTTGCTAGGGTAATCTGCCTGGTCCATAATGAGAATGGCGTTGCCAGAGGCGGAATATCATGATGAGTTATCCCACGAACCATCGGCTCACGGCAATGTCGTCGGCAAGGGGACTGTTACAGTTCCTGGATGTGTTGGTTGGGCTTGTCTACCAGCTCCCAACTGCACGGCGCTTATGAAACCCAAGACCGAGCTCAAAGTAGAATAACGGTGAGATGAGCCCAAAGGGGTTGTATGACCAATGGGCCTATTACTGACCGTAGAGGAGGTCATTGATGGAAGCTAACGCGCAACTTCCTCAATATCATCATCTCTAATAATTAATCAAGAAAGTTACTGTTGATGCTGGGGTTAGGTTAGCATAACAGATTTAGACCCCTTGTCAACTCAAACCAGGGTAGGATCATGGTCCTTCAAGAGCAGCCCGAGATCAAGCAAGCTGTAGCAGAGAAGTGTGGAGGAGGCTCCGACGGCTGGCTCGGCATTGATTCTCAACAATCTTTGAATTCATGGTACACTGCGACCAATTGGTGCTGGATAATACGTTGCACCACCGGACGCCTATGAGTTTGGATACAATCTAAGGTATAATCCAAGTGCCATGCCACATCCCATTATCCGGTATGCCAGGCCCTAGACCTACCGCACCGTTAACCTAGAGCTGAGCTGACCATCCACGACGGGGTCATCACATCAACGATGTCAAAGAAGACTTTCTCATCTAAACCCCTACACTTAGTACTTCACGATTATAGGACTCTGGGCGCACTCGTCCCCATACATCTACACATCCTACCCTCCGATCGGCGATGGCAGATCAACTAGCATTGGGGAGCGTATCAAGAAGCTTCATGCCCACCATGCTCAAGATATATGCGTTGGTCCATTTCTAGTTCATTGTGAGTCACAGATCTCGATGGAGATAAGAGAGAATTGTGAGAGGATCAACATGAGGAAAGTGTTGGAACCTTCAGGGCGATGACCGCTGAGATATGCGCTGGAAGAAGCTATTCCGAGTCAAAGCAGTGGACTGAACAGAGTGAGCAAGTCCTTTTGAAAGGTGGTAACAGTGCCTGATTGACCATGCTGTTGATGGCCATGGGAGAGGACTAAGTAGGTAAGAAAGAGGGTTGCAGTGCTGGCATCAATCAATCACCGAGGTCCGTTGAATGCAGCCATCAAGGCGGCTTCGTTCCGACCGGAGGTACCTTCTATAGCACGTCTTGATCTCGGACTTTGAGAGCGTACCAATGAAGGAACTGGGTGTTGTTAATGTAAGCTCGGTGTCACGGCGGGACAGGCGGGCAATCCAATGACAATTGCATTCGGGCTAAACTACAGTCTGAGCTCTATTCCGTCAGGTACGGGCAGGCTTGATTGTCAAGACGTAGCTCGAGGAGCTACGAACAGATCTCGCGGCAGCGAGGTGCAGAATATTTAACCCACAGGGGCCCGTGCTTTCCACATGCCGGGTTCCACCCGTGGGTCCTAGCAGGCACGGCGCAATCGCCGTGACACTCGGAGGTGCTGAACGATTATGCAAAGGATGGAGGATGACCTGGTCAAGCTCAGAAGCAACGGGAGGCTGCAGAAACAGTGAAGCTGAGTGGTGCGGCTGGATATTCGGTATAAGTGAAGCGTAGTGTGGATAGTTTGTCGGGCATTTTAACCGAACATCAAGCCCTCTTAACTTGGCGTGCCTGGACCCTGACTATCCTGCTTTACCGCTCAGTGTGAAGTCACAGGATGGGAGGCTTACTCGAAGTTAGCCACTCAGCGGGTTTCGTTTTGGCTTCGTCAACAACTTTGTTCCCAGTCTAAGGCATCGCACCCGAGGCATGCCCTTAGGATCTTGGATAACTATGTATCGGATGTTCTACAAACATGCTTTAACTAGGCTATTATAGATTCCCATTGCTCCCTCTGCTTCTTCTCTTACTTGTATAGTAGCCCTAGATTACTTATCAGTATAGAATATAGCGAGGTAATTATATGTAACTAGTTATATGTTGATCTTACACCGTAAGGGGAATCGCCCCGCCCAGTTAGGGCAAGCGGACCCTCCGCGCTATTTTACATGCAAGGCATCCGCTCTCGTGCTGCGTCCGAGCGGCTTAGTTGCTGCTCGGGCACTCCCAGCAGTCCCTCCCATCCAGCAGTCCGGAACACACCTTTTCGGCTTGGTGACGACGAAGCGGTGGGTGTTGAACTGAACTGGCTCCTTGGCACCTGGATTCAGGGGCTGGGCACGGTTGCCCAATGCAGTAAGCGTGGAAGACTCGTCACCCACCCAAAAGCAGGGCGAGGGTCCCGAAGCCCTCGGTTCTTTCAAGCAACACACACACATGACGCATGGTTCAGACAGTCAATTCGAGCTTCATCTTGTGCCCAATTGATGCAGTGTCACCTGGTTGGTCTATGCCTATTCGAGCCTGTACCTGTTGCTGTCCAACCGTGGGCGGCCGTCCGGCCGTGTTCGTCACTTAGCTGCATAACTCGCGCTGCGTGCTCGCGGCGCCGACATGGCGTTAGCGCCCGCTGCGCCTTTTCCTCTTCTTTTTTTCTTGGCCCCTCCGGGCTCCCAATTCCGCCGCCATCCTCAGGGTCTTCCTCTGCTCCCTCATGTTCCAGCTCCATCAAGAGCCTGTACTCAGCCAGTCTCCATAGCGAGGTAATTACTTAGTAAAGTTATAAAATATAAGAAAGTAAAAGATAAATAATAATTGTAGTACCTAAGGTTTATACTAAAGGATAAACTAGGGCTAGTTTGTATTAGCGTTATACTATTATACTGCCTAATAGCCTGCCCTTGTCTGGTCATCTAAAAGCTCCTTCGCAGACTCGACCATCCTCTCAACATTATAGTCCCAAACCTCATGAAACATCTGTGAGATGGTCGGGCCAAATACCTGGGAGTCCCTCGACACATATATCGACCGTGATCGCCAGTGGAACAAGTCGCACGCCCGCCTCGTGCTACAGACCACATCCATGGTGCGCCCAAACCTGACATTGCTATAAGCCCATAACGCGTTTTTGACCAGGCCATCCCTGACACCATCCACCACAGAACCGCCACCGTCACTCCCAGTCTTCCCGGCCGTCTCCTTGACCCGCCTGTCCACCTCGGCCAACAGCTCCGCCAGGACAAGCGCATCCTCGATTCCCATCCCGGCGCCGGCACCGAGGTGCGGGCCCGCGGCGTGCGCCGCATCCCCAGCCACACACATCCTCCGGCGGTTATAGAACCCCGTCGACGACGAGTTCTTCATGTCAAAGATCCCCCACTTGTCCATCTGCTCGGGCATCAGGTCGATGATCTGCCGGACGCGAGGGTGCCATTGTTCAAAGGCCGTGGCAGCCTCGGCTTTGGACCCCAGGCAGGTGGTGTGCGGGTGCGGCCAGGTCTCGGATGGGTCCTCGATGACGGCCAGGATGTTGAGCAGCGTGTTGTTGGCCACCGGGTAGGTGAGCACGTGGGCGCCCGGGCCGGTGTACATGCAGCGGGCTAGGGCTCTGCCTTCGCCGATGGCGCTGAGGGCGGCTGGCATAGGCGCCAGCGCGCGGTAGCAGAACTTGCCGGTGTATTGGGCGATGGGCTTGGGGCCAATGTTAGCGGAATCAGGGATGCAAACGTGTGTTCGGACGCGCGAGTGGATGCCGTCGCAGCCGATGACGGCGTCGGCGGTGGTCGTGGTGCCGTCGGTGAAGGAAAGGATGAGCTTGGTGGTCTTGTTGCCGTCCACGTCGCAGATCTCGTTGTGGAGAATGTCTGCGAGGTTCTTGCTGAAGACCACCGAGGTGGGACGGATAAGCGTGGCCCACGCCTCGAGGATGTCGCTGCGCCGGCCGCCCTGGAAGCCGTCCTTGCCGACGTGCAGCTTGTAGATCAACTCGTCTGAGTCATAGCCGTCGACCCAGTGGAAGTAGTCCTCGACGTTGGGGTTGGCCACGCGCTTGTAGGCCGTCAGGATTTCCGGGTGTAGCAGGGACATGGCCCGCTCGGCGTTGGGGCTGAAGCCGATACCTGCACCGATGTCACGGATCTCTGAGTGGCGTTCGTAGAGCGTAAAGGACACGTTGCGGGCCTGCAGCCCGAGTGCGAGGTTGATGCCTGTGATGCCAGCGCCGATGATGGCGATGTGGAAAGTGTCGTTGGTGATGGTGGAGGGCTCCATTGGGTTGGATATTGTGAGGGCAGAGGACTAGTGTACAGACATAAATAGAAGAAAAATTGAACTGCGATAAGACTTGTTGATTGAGTGTCAGATGAATTGTTCCTGTTGCGTATTCGATTCGGGCGAGAAGTGAACGCAAGGTACCTTAAGAAGTTCAAGCAGCCACCAGCCCACCATGACTTACGGAGCGCGCATGCCTGTGCGTACAATCTAACCCTGTTTTATATATTAGTACGGAACTTACGCAGCAGGTATTATATAGTACCTCAACTTCCTTTACAATGATCTTTCGTCTCGTGCCACGCTAACGAAAAACCCAGAGTTGGATTGTATTCTGGAAGTGGCCAAAAACAATGGTTTCAAGAGTGCTCCTTCCGCTGGTCCTCAAGACGATCCGTGCTGATGTCATGGTGACTTCTAAGTTTCGAGGGTTTTGTTGCTTCCAACGGGTTTGCGGTGGGGATCGCCGAAGGTGCAGTACTGCATCTGGACTTTCGGACTTGTGACACAGCTCACAACACATCCTCCGAGGCCCTTTTTTGCGCAGTTCCGGGCTGCATCTTCTTCGTTGCCATCCGTCGGTTACAGTCCGCGCAGCTTTCTGAATTGAGTCGAGACCATCCAGCTCCAAATCTCTGCCTTACGCGTACTTGTACCAGCGAGGGTCAGTTGGAGCAAACATTTATTGATGTCCTGTGGAATCATGGCGTCGACTGGGAAGACACCTTCGTTCACCAAGGGCAAGGTGTTACTGACTGGTAAGGGTTACGATTGGCGTGGAGATCATGACTGAGGCAATCCACGGCCGAATCCGAAGCTAAACAGCACATGTATTTCTCAGGTGGCACGGGCTTTATTGCCTCTCATGTCTTGGACTGTCTGCTTGACTTTGAGTAGGCCATCGTCGATGTTTCCGCAACGCTCAGGATGCTCACAGCACCCCAACAGCTTCGACGTCGTCGTGACGGTGCGGTCCCAGGAAAAGGGGCAGCGAATTCTCGAGTCGATCGACGAGACGCTGCGAAAGCGAACCACGTTTGTGGTGGTCGATGATGTCGCCAAAGAAGGGGCATTTGACGAGGTTGATAACTGACCCACACAGTTCGGCCGAGGAGCATGCATGGTGGCTGACATGGAGCAGGCGGTGCAGTCAAACCCTCCCTTTGACTTTGTCATCCACACGGCCTCTCCCTACAGGTTCACCTTTGACGACCCGGTCAGAGACTGCCTCGACCCAGCCATTAAGGGCACCACGGGCATCCTTCACTCCATCCACGCCCACGCGCTCACCGTCAAGCGTGTCGTCATCACCTCGTCCTCGGCTGCCATGCTCAGCCCGGCGAACCACCCCAAGGTCTACGATGAGTCGTGCTGGGCCGACATAACCTGGGAGCAGGCCATGAACCCGCACGAGACCTACCGCGCAAGCAAGGTAAGAGTCGCTTCTCTTACACGGCATCATACTCTGATTGAAATCCCTCAGAAATTCGCCGAACAAGCCGCCTGGTCCTTCATCACCACTTACAAGCCCTCCTTCTCCCTCGCCACAATCAACAACACCTACACATTCGGCCCAATCCAGCGTACCCTGACAAGCCTCGACAACCTAAACACGTCCAACCAGCGGATCTGCGACCTCGTGCAGGGCCGCATGCGCGCCGGCATCCAGCCGACCGCGCCCGTCTTCACGTTCGTCGACGTGCGCGACGTGGCGCTGGCGCACGTCCTCGCCCTGACGAAGCAGGACGCCGGCGGGATGCGATTCTACGTTGTGAGCGGCTTCTTCTCGAATCCCAGGCTGGCCGAAATCATTCGGAGGCGATTTCCTGAGCTGGCGGGGCGGTTACCACCTGAGGAGGAGGTGGAGGATGATTTTCCAAAAGATCACTGGTGGTTTGATAACGCGAGGTCCAGGAATGTGCTGGGGCTGGAGTATAGACGACTGGAGCACAGTGTTGTGGATACGGTTGAGTCGATTCTGAGGTTTGAGTCTGAGGACAGAGGGGATCGGGACTGGCGGAAGTGGCGATGGTCACGGCTTGGTAAGTGAGTTGGACTGGACTGTCCATGGATTGGCTTTGTAATATTTGGCCGTCGCCGGAGACCCTACGTGTTTTTCTGTGAGTAGAAACCGACGAGGTTATCCCAGGAGCAACACTGCGTGTATTTATTATCTGAGCAGCACGAATAGAACTCCAAGAAACGAGATCGTCCTCGGGCAATCTGTTGCGCCGCTTCGGGAGGAGGCACAGCAAAGGCAGCATGACACGAGTGCTCGGTGTTCCCGAAGGATTGGCATCCTAGACTGCCCAGGTGCCTTATTCATCCGCCAACTTAGCACTCATCCTCTTCTGCTGTCAGAACCGTGACCAGCATTTTGAGTTCTTACTCATACCTTTGAACGAGGTGTCCCCGGATGGCTGTCGCTATTGCTGTGCCAAAAACTGGGCCACTGTTCGTGAGCCGCCAAGAGAGGCACCCACCATCCATGTCAAATCTCACAAGCTCCCTGTCACCGCCTGTTCATGATGACTTCAAGGGACCCCTACGTAAAACAGTCAGGACAAGCTGTAGAGGATCCCACCCCCGCAGCCATCCAATTTTCAGTCTGGACCTTTGCGCGATCGGAAGCTAACGTTAGTTAGCTCTGCCCAGGAACTTTCAAGATCTGGACGGATAGGCTGCCACTAGCGTGCTGCGCCGGACTCGTCCCTGCACCTGATGTGCGACTTGTGAGACATGCATGCTGTGCCCGCTGTCCATGTTTCGGTTTTGATTTTGTGGTGCGGCCCTCGTACTTGTACCTTACTGTGTTTGAGGAAACCTGCAAGCTGTACGGATCCGTACCGCAGAGCCTTTTGTCGCGACATGCTATGGGTTGCGGCGGTGAATTGCTACAGTACCACAGTAAACCTGGAGGACATGGGGGTTGGATGTAACCCCTGAAGCGAGACGTGTGAGCTGGCAGCGATGTGTGCTGGGTTCGGAATGCATCGCGCATGGGCACACTGGCGAGGCCGGCCGATCGAAGGATGGATGGCGGGGATCTTGGAGATTTTCTTTCGACTGTTGGCTAACAAGAAGTCGTCATGTCAAGCGCTACCGTTTGCTTTTTCATGGGAATTGTGGCATCTTCCTCAGCCGTGCCTGGAAAGTCGAGACAACATCGGCTTGCTTTTCCCGCCGTTCTACGTGCAAGTTTGGAGCCCACGTGCAATCAAGTCAGAAAGCTGGGGGACATCGGCAGGGTCGCAGCGGGCCTCAAACAAGCAAAGCTTGGTGGGGTGAAGGCAGGTCTACCTGGAAAAGCATCCTTTCTCTTGGGGGGACCGAGAAAGAGTGGGGCCCACCGAGCGCTCCTTCCGAGTTGAAAGGTTGCAAAGAACGGTGACGGGAGTTTACTTGAGTTGATTATCAGATTTTGGCAGCAGGAGCGCGCTGGGAAAATTGAAATCTGGATTCAATCCCCCACATCACTTATTTTCTTGTTTTCTTTTTGTTTCCTTTTTATTCTGCTCCGGGCTTCCTTTTTGGACTTCCGGCTGTCGCATCTCAGATCTCCCACCCAATAAGGTACCCCACGCGGGCTCACACTTAGGTCCAGCCAATTTAGACAGCTTCCCCGGGCCCAAGGCCACTGCACGGCACGGACACTGCGTCTTGCACAAGAGTTGATACACTAGACAGTCTCGTCGATATCAATAGATCGCGCCCGGACACACACTTTTGGAGGAGGATCACTGTGCAGCATGCAAGGTCAAAATCGGCTCCCCAGCACCATGTCATGACCTGGCGAAGCCGTGAGAACTCAGCTGCCAGTGGCCGGAAATTACGACGTTGCAATCATGAGTGGCATCCTGGACAATGGGTTGCAGGAACACCCAACCGCCGCCCGGCGATTTTGGGGAGAGGGGGAGCAACAGAGCAACAGATACACGATCGGCTCGCACTGCGATGCCAACGGGGAGACACCGAAACCAGAACCAGGCCTTGGTCACCGGCAGGGCTACATCCAGGCATTGATAGACTTCGCCGACGAAGAAGACAGGCCGATTGTGGATGACATCGACGCCGACTCCGTCTTGGACGCAAGCGATTGCCTCGACGGCCGATCCGAGAGCGACACACAGTTTCAACAGCCGGGACGCGCAACCGAAAGCCCGGCAACCCAGAAGGCCATGCCGCCTCTCCCAATCGAGAGACCCCTCTCTTCACCGCAACCGCAGATGTCGTGCAGAATTTCGCAGTTTCCTTACCCGCAGCCGTGCGAAGTTCCCGAGTTGATGCCAGACCACGAAGACATGTCTGCCATGACAGCCAGCCCGCCCGTCTCAGGTCCAGTGACCCCATGCACCGTGCCCGACGTCTTCCGCCCGTTGACCCTCGCCCTCTCACCCGAACTCGACCTGGGTCCCATCATCAACCCCGCATTTGAGCTGGATTCGCACGGCCGGCGGCGCAAAATGTCGGTCAAGTCGGCCGACACAGGTGTGTCAGACGGGTTGGGCATCATCCAGGAAAACGAGGGCGTAAACCCGGACGGCGTGTCATTGTTGACGACCACCGAGGCATCCTTCGGAAACAGCGCGGGTGAAGGCGGATTGGGCCCTCCGCGAGCCGACAAGCAGAGTTTCCTCGCGGTGGATGGCCACAAGCATGGGCGAAGTGTGAGCTCCCTCGGGAGCGGGAGCTCTGGCGAGTGGCGGCCGAGCACGGCACGAAGATCAGCCAACTTCCTATCGCGCAGGCGCAATGGTGGACGTGGCGACGACGAGTGCCTGGAGAGGCGATCGTTGACTCCGGCGCAGCTTGCCTCGCCAACCTGGAGACAGGGGGCTTCTGATGATGAACTGCCGATACCAGAGACAGCGTCGCCCTCTTCGCCCTCGCATTCTACTAAGGCCGTCACCAGTACCACCACGAGGTTCTTCCATCGCATGCCATGGTTCGGTGACTCGCAGTCGAGGCCCGAGGCGGTCTTTGGCGTCGACCTGAAGGAGAGTCTCCGCGTAGCGCCCATGAAAATCAGGATATCGCACAAAGGTAGGAGCACGTCGTACCGGACCTTCCCGTTGGCGGTGCACAAGTGCTGCGAGTTTATTCGCCGGGCAGGTATGTCGCATCTGTTGTCTCGCGCGCTGCTGCAACGCAAGCTGATCCTTACAGGCGGCACCGACCCCAACATCTTCGCCTCGCCAGGAGACGCCTACAACGTTGCGAACCTCAAAGATATATTCAGCCTCGCGCCGTCGTACGGGGAACACTTCCAGTTTGAAGGGAGCGACTACACAATCCACGACGCCGCGCGACTGATCTTGGTCTTCCTCGAGGACCTGCCCAAGCCGCTGATCCCGCCGTCGGTAGTCAAGTCCTGGATCCTGTTGGCGCGCCAAGAAGGCGCCATCGAACCGCCGTGTCCGCGCGTCGAGACTGGTCTCGACTTCTGGACCGAAGCGCTCAACCGTCTGCCGACGCCCAACCGCAACCTGACCAAGCATCTTCTCACGCTGTTTGCCGAGGTGTTGCTCGCCGCGTCGGGACATATTACCGAGGCGGACGCTAGGAAGTTGGCGTCGGCCGTGTCGAGGGCCATGTTCCATCAAGACGCGGACGGTGATGCCAAGGGGGGCAAGGACCGGAAGAAAAAGTCGGACAAGCGGAATGTGCAGCCGACGCTGGCGCTTGCGTTCCTCATCAGGAAACGGGGCGAGTATGCTGTTTCGCTTGGCGAGGCGGCCGCGAGCAATGCGTCCAAGCGGGATTCCAAGTTTCTGCCGAGCACGAGGGAGATATTGGAGTGGAAGGCGGGGAGCAAGTGAGGGCTGCTGGGAGGGTGTTGGATGCAGGAGGACATGGTGTTGAGATACCCTTTATCTTCTTTGCTATTCTCTGCTCTGGAAAGTTTTCTGTGGGCTTCTTTAGGGGGTTGCGGCCTGTGGGGCAAGCGGCATTGGGTTGGCGTTCTTCAGGCTTTCGTTCGACCAGCTAGTCCGTACCCGAGGCTAAGCTTTAATTGTGTATGGGGGTTGTACGAAGGAAAGAGGGAGTATGTGATGGAAGGGATACCGTACAGTATCAGTGAGTGACCCATGTTAGCGAGTGGCCTACTTTCTACGCGACGCGATACCTTTGCGCTTAACAACAACTTCCCTCTATCATCCAAGATGTCCCCTACTTTGAAAGAAGGCCAGATGATTTTGGCCCTTCAAGTTCTTCAAATGATAAGAATTTAAGCGTGCGAGCCGCAGCTAAGATCTGTAGAGTCGCCCGGAAGACTCTAGGGTGTCGACGCGACGGCAAGCCTGCACGATACGACAGTACGCCAAAGTCGAAGAAGCTCACTAAACTAGAAGAGGTGGCTATTGTTCGATATAAAATTGAGCTATCTACGCGAGCTTTTAACCTAGATTGTGTGGTGTTGAAAATATGACCAACCCTCTACGACCCTGGGTGTTCTAGACACCCGTGACACCACACAACCCTCAAAAAGCCGATTTGCAGTCAACGCTCATCAAGACTCGCATTGCCAACCATTAGAATAGCTCCTTAACATTAATGTTGGCTGCTGTAGACCAGCTTACGAAAGGTACGGATCCGAACAATGGCTGTGATGCACGAGGTACATATCACTTCTTCGGTCAGATGTTTCTTCGCTCTGCAAGGCCAACGAGACACTAAGCAAGCGCCGGAGAGCAAAGAACGCGCGTCCGGCTTAGAAAATCACTTACTGTATAGAGTGCACATGAGGCAGAAGGCTGGGAGACCGTGAGTGGGGAGGGAGTGCAAGAAATGTAGCGGGATATTGATGGTACAGGGGCTAGGGTCATATAAGGGTTTGGTACCGCAGTATACATAGCAACCTAGGTTATAATATACGTACAGTACTTGCCGGGCAGTCGCTGAACAATCTTATTCGGCTGCTCCCGATGTAATAATAGTCGGTTCTCGGTGTTGTTGTGTTGTGATCGGAGATGGTTGTCCTAGGGCAGTAGGAGGTGGGCCGCTCGCTGATATGTGCCACTCACTGATAATGTACGTTATGAGATACTGCACCTAATCAGTTATGTTTTCGCCGTGGAGGTCCATCTCGAAATAATTGCTCTCTGTACTTGGAGAGGGCACAAATCCGCTCATCCTCCTCGTTGGCGCGGACAGGAGGATGCGGAAGTGCAGAACAGAAGGAATGGCCCACCTCCAACTCGGAGAGAATCATGAAATTGATCATTATGGTCAGAAGTACCTTACTCGTTCAAATATGGATCGACTTGACGTCATCATAAACTCCCTGTTCCCACCCAAACATGGAGCAATAAGCGTGGCCGACAAGAAGATACAGCTTGAATATCTACTCAAAATCTCACTCGTCATGAGTTTGGATTTTTATGACTAATTAGCTGGAAGAGAAGGCTACAATACAACTAGTGGAAGATATATGGTCTTACCCCTTTAAACCACCGCCGTCATCTGCATTACATCTACATCATTCATCACAAGTCTAAGGTGCCATGTCCTCCACCCACGACGACCAGAAACCGCCCAGTCCGCGCTGGATCTGTTTCATCACGGGCCCGACGGCGTGCGGAAAGACGACGATAGCCAAGGGTCTGGCCCAATCCCTAGGCTTCGTGTTTGTTGAGGGCGATGATGTGCGTTCACCTTTTTCGCTCTCCCCTTCATGACTTTCCTCGTCTGTGGGCCTGGACAGCATACCCCCCTATTTACATTTTTTACCATCACCTGCTTTACCCCCGCCGGTCATGACTGGAGTTCCGCCCCAGACATCAGTTACTCCTAATCGTCGAACAGTACCACCCACCACACAACCGCGAGAAACTCTCCCGCAACGAGCCCCTCACTGACGACGACCGTGCCGCATGGCTCGACGCCCTGAGCAAGCTGGAGTCGCCTTCGCCAGATGATGCCACGTTTAATAACGCAAACGATAGTCTAATCATTACCTGCTCTGCCCTGAAAAAGCGGTACAGGGACGTTCTCCGCCACGGAGGAGCACGCTCACAAAAGGGGAATAACGCACAGGAGGGGAGGCAGATAGGGAAGGAGGAGCTGGAGGATGTGAGGGTGAGGTTTGTGCTATTGGACGTGGATGAGGATATGCTGCGGCAGAGGGCGAGGGAGAGGCATGGCCATTTTGTCGGGGAAGGGTTGGTTGCTAGTCAGGTGAAGACTCTGGAGAGACCCCAGGAAGGTGAGGAGGGCGATGTGCTTGTTGTTGAGGTTGGGAAGGGGATGGGGGTTGAGGACACTGTGCGGGAGGTTGAGAAGAGAGTGAGGGAGGAGATTGACCGGGGGGATTGAACTGATACATGATGCATGTACGTAGCCATGTTAGCAGGAAGGAGTAGGTTATGATGGACTTGGCTGGGTTACTGCTTGTACAACCCCTTGGCCACACGAGCACACACTTCCTTTAGCGTTTGGCCCGCCCACTCAAAATCGTCCAGCTCGAGGAATACCTGCGCGCTGAGGCGAGCCCACCACTGCCCGCCGTACACAAACAGCGTGACAAACGTCTCGTGCTCGTCTATCAGCGTCTGCAGGATCCAGTTGGTCACAGCCGAGACATCGCTGTTTGGGATCGCCGGCAGACCAGCCAGGTCACCCTCCAGCGCCCTGTCCTCCTCGTCCGGCTGCACCGCCAGCGGCAGCGCAACGTTGACCATCGAGCATCGCGTCAGGCTCCGGCTAGCATTGTCCAGCACCTTGGTGCCTAGAATCTCGGCAACCTTCTTCCCGCCCTGCCGCGCCAGCTCCGTCAGCGCCTCCCGGATCCGCTCCTCCCCGCCCAGCACCTCCTCCCGCCACTGGATGCTGTCCTTGACGCACAGGTACGGCGCGTTGTCCACCGTGCCGACAAACTCAAACGCGTTCACAAACTCGGACTTATCCGACGGCGGCAGCGGGTTGATCCGTATGTTGGCCTGCTGTTCGGGGGACGGGCGCGGGACAAAGCCGTGCGAGGTCGGCAGTGTCGAGCGGATAAGCGCCTGGTTCCGCAGCGGCACGTAAAACACGGCACAGCCGCGCGGGACGTGCAGCCACTTGTGGCAATTGCTGACAAAGAAGTCCGGGTCGACGGCGCCGAGGTCAAGGTCGACCATGCCGACGCCCTGCGCGCCGTCGATCAGCGAGAGGATTCCCTTCTCGCGGCACGCGGCCGTCACGGCCTCGAACGGGAAGCGCACGCCGGGCAGGGAGGAGACAACGTCGAAGAGGCACAGTCGAGGGCGCTTGCCCTGGCTGAGGGACTCGGCCACGGCGGAGTGAAACGCGGACAAGATGGCGTCGTCTTCGCAGGGGTAGGACAGCGGGATGCAGCGGCTGGACACGAGCCCTTGCCTGTCCTCGACCACGTAGTCGACCGTCTTGGCGCAGCCGCCGTAGATGGTGTTGAAGTAGAGGATTTCGTCCTTGCCGTCGGCGTTCCAGACGAGGTTGCGGAGCACCGTGTTGACGCCGACGGTGGCGTTGGCCACGAAGACGGCCGTGTCGGTGGGCACGCGCAGGAGCTTGGCGATGGCTGCGCGGGACTCGTCGAGCAATTTGGGGTACTCGTACCGGATGAAGGGGTCGGGCCTCGCTTCGGCGAGGTCTTGGTAGAACCGCAGTTTGGACTGAATGAGGCGCGGGATGGTACCGAAGGAGCCTGGAAACTATCAGCATGTGATGTGACTGCGCTGGGGAGGGTCAGTGGGAAGGGTACCGTTGTTGAGATTGCGATAGGCCAGGTCCATGAGGAACTGTTCCTTAAGCTCGTGGCCGAACTTGATGGGCGCTGTCGCCGCCTTTTGACGGACAGGAAGGTCTTGTGTGGAGCCCATGGCGAACAATTGGATTGCACCGTTTCAGAGGTTGAAGGTCAACTTGAAGTATATCTTCAAGTGCGTCGAATACAGTTGAGCTTGAGATACTTAACTGGGAGTCAGAGTGAAGACCGGGATAGGATTTATACGCAACGTGTTAGCTTATGTGACTGTTCGAGTTCTTCAGGTTGACTCACTCGTTGATTAAGGTCGGTTGCGCTCCACCTGCCGCGAAACACAACGTCTCCGCATCTTCGGCCGCCAAGCGGGCCTTCCTGCAGCAATGACAGCGCCGTGTCGCAGGCTGTCGCCGGTAGGGCGCGTTCGTGCTGCATGGAGGGGCATTCATGAGAGCCTCTGCCAGCCGCGACAAGCCGGCTTATGCAGGATATCCGAACTCAATTGCCCCTCAGCTAATATTTGAAGGGATAACGTGATAAGGTATCATTGGCGATCTTCATATTATGTCCAGATTCTGAGATCCCTCCTCAACGCCAGCAAGCTCCATTTAACGTCCAGCTTCTGCAGTGGACGCTGCAGCCCTGAGCGCCTGAATCCTTCTTTCCAGCCAACAGCGGTACCCAGCAAACAGGCCCACCTGCTCCCACGTCTCACAGAATCGAGCCAACGCCGTGTACCGCTCAGTCAGCCACTGCGTCTCGTCGACCTCCCTAGCCACATCCCGCATGGCCCTCGTCAGCTTGGCCAGGCAGACCAGACATAAATACGGCGGCTGCCTCAGGTCCTCGGCGATGCCTCCCGTGCCCTGCATGACGCAAGCATAGTACGAGCAATGTGCCAGGCAAAAGCAGTGGCCCAGCTCGTGCGCGACCGTCCGCGCGACTCGCGACAGCCAGAGACCGGCAGGGCTGGCCTGCGGATCGGGCGCCGCAAGCGCTGCATGGATGACGTCCGCCATGGCCTGCTGCTGCTGCTTCTCGGTTGTTACAGGCCCGAGAGTGTCCGGCCCGGGGTAGGGAGCGGTTCTCTGCCGCTTTGAGTTACGGGGAACGGCTTCCGGCTCATTCTCGCCCTCCCGGCACAGTTGCTCTACATATGCCTTGCAATGCGAGAACGGCCACATATGCTCCCGATCAATTCCCACCGAGTCATCCAGCACGGGATGATAGCGCGCCGCCGAGACGACACTCACGCGGCTGCTACCGTAGGCGCGGCCGCAGCAGAAATCGTCGTCGTCGTCCTCGTACAGGTCGTGGTGCGTCAGCATAACCAGCGCGTATGCGTCCGCTGGCAGCGCTGCGATGGCCGCGTCCAGGAGGTCGTTGAGACTGAACTGGCGCGCGTAGACCTCGTCTGGGCACCGGCGCGTCGTGATGCGCGTGACGCCATCGCCGATTTGCAGGCCGAGGTACCGGATCTGGGGCGGCGCCTTGGGTCCCTTCTTGGCATTAGGCTCGACGGGCTCATCGTCGGTCCATGGGACAAAGCGCACGTCGCCTGGCAGGAACTTGACCGGGAGAGGGTGGTAGAAGGCCTCGAGGTACTGGCGGACGTGCTTGGGGTCGGGCGGATTGCAGGCTGCATCGGATCTCTTCGCCAACCGCTTATGCGGGACGGTCCAGCTGCTGACAGCGGCGGAGAAGGCCGAGTCAGCTGGGATCAGCGGGGGTGGTACGATGTAGATAGTCTTTCTCCGCTGCGTGACTGGGTTCCGCATCTTCTCGCCGATCCATGACCGGAGGCTCTGAGGCGGCTCTTTGGAGTCGATGGCCAGGCCGTCACCTGGCAGGACCAAAGGCCCGGGGAAGAGCCATTCCAGTTCTCTGTACGCTTCAGTGTCTCGTGTTGCACGGCCCGACGGTGTGGTGGCTGCCTTTCTCTTTGCCATGGGCGGCCTCACAAACCCGACGTCGTGAGCATGCCGCGATACGTCGACATGTAGAGTTTGATGGCTGCATGTAGGCATTTGCCGAATTCAAACGACAGCCGCTTATGTCGGAGAAGGTGAGCAAGGAGAAGCGTCCTGGTATCACAACTGGCCCTGTCTTTTCTCATGTTCTGTCAACCGAATCGGGGCAATTTCAGGCAGCAGCGACTTCACCGAATTCAAGCTTCAGGGGTTATTTAAGGGTAGTAGGGTAGGGTTAGGGTGCCGATTTTAATTCGGACCATTTGGTGCGATTTGCCGTGTAACACAAACTGAAACGCGTTGTCCTTCCAAGTCCACCTCAGTCGAGGTTGGCGTCGTCCAGGTCCAAATATTGACTGCTTAAGCTGTAACAACAAGCGCGTTGCTTGGGTGGATTGTAGTTTGTAGACATGATTCACGTCTCTATTGAGTCTATTCTAAAATGATCCCCCAAACCCTGAGTCATGGCAAACTTGAAGCAGTTGTTCAAAGTTGGAAATACCCAGCAGATTACACAGTTCCACCATATGGCTTCTCAAACTGTTGGATATTTGCCGCGGAGAGAACACAACTTGCAAGGCAAGCAATGAAGATGATTTCTTCAATGCCAGGCCTCGAGAAGTAGTAGATTCGGCGCGGTGGAATGCCGGGAAACGCTGTCACTGTGGCCAGGTCAAGAAAACCCGACCTTTCCAGCAGCTGTCTCCCAAGATTACTGACGCCCGAATTGAGCAGCTAGAAAGAAATAAAAAAAAAGAAAGGATAGAATACGAGACAAGATGCACAAAGTGAAAGAGAAGATGGACAACATACTCAAGTCACTAGACCCTGACGTTCGAGAGCTCACGACATCATCCGCATGATACTCACGAAGCAGACGAAACAAAGACCCATCCAGCCTTAGCCTGCAAGACGAAGTTGAAGTCCAGCAGCTCGCGGTCAAACGGTTGGACGAGGACTACGCCGACATCGAGAAAGAGCTGACAGAGCTTAAAGAAATGATGGGGAAACCGTGACGTGGCTGAAGCCTGATAGTGCCACCACACAGGCCACGCTGGCTTGGAGTTTGCCCAGGGGTCTTTGTTTTCACTTTCCTTCTTTTGTTCTTCTTTCTTTCTTTCCTTCTTCTCTATTTATTTCTTAAGAGATTATTTAGAGACACCTTCGCAGCTCCGGTATTCACCTGATAGCAAGGATCACGTCTGCCTGTACACGTGTATGCAACTCATCCAATGTTTTGGACGTCATAGCAAACAAGCACCGCCTTGGACCTCCAGCTCATCAATAACTGTCAGTAACGCCCTCCGAAATACCAGACCGGACACCTTCTCAAGAGGGCCAGCCAGCTGTGGAATAGAGACTGTCAGGTACCTTCCGTGACTTAAATCAACACTATCAGCCCGCCCCTACGACTCAAGACGCCGCAACGACCGCGTCAGATTCCTTCTCGCGGCATTTTCATACAAACCCCGGAACAAGTCAGAATGGTACAACCTCTGGCGCTTCAAGAAATTCCTCAAAACAGCCGCCCTGCCTGCTCTCCACCCCTCGTCATCGACAAACTGGTACTCCCTCCGCACAGCAGCCTCATACTCATCAAACTCGACCTCGTCAGCCCCAAGAATACTCAAGTCCATATCCAGGAACAGCGCCGCATCGCTGGCCTCGCCGTCGTCGAGGCCCGTGGGCAGGGTGTGCGTCGCCGTGGCCTCGATGACGGTGCGGATCCACCCCAGACGTCTGGCATCGACCAGGCCGGCCAGACGGGCGACTGCTAGATCGGCGCTGTGCTTCTCGTTGGCAGAGCCCTGAGCGCGGGCGTCGTAGATGGCGTCGTGGAACCAGATGGCTGCCTCGACTGCGTCTGGGTCGGCGAAGCGGTGGCGGTGGGCGGAGAGGAGGGCGAGGAGGGCGGTGATGTGGTTGAGGGAGTGGTAATGCCGGGTGGGGGCCGAGTAGAGCGCGGTGAGCTCCTCGCGGATGGCGAGGGTGATGAGGGTCATTGTTGGGCGAGTTTTTTCTTGTCGATGATGGTGAATGTTTGTGTAGATGACGCGCAATGCTGGATGGTGTGTTGAGGTTGGTGAGTTGAGTCAGACTCCAACTCGAATGCCTTGGCATGAAGGCGAAGCACATCATCACGTGCAGGGCCCAATACGAGGTCCTCTCCCTTCGGCACTTTCCTCTCCAACAAGCACGCGATGGATTGCGTCACGTGGCGGGCGTGGGCGAGGTTCTCGAGTTTGTTTGTTGGAGAAACGGTAGGGCCGGATAATGTCGACATCAGAGGTCCAGTCAGTGCCCGACCGGCATGTGACTTCCGGAGAAGACATACCTGAGCGTCCAGGTCCTTGTCGTTACCTATCGCGTACGTGAATGGCTCGAGGCAGGTCACAGGTGTAGTCTTTGGCGCTGGTGTCGAGGATTGATTTTGTTCGATGCGTCTTGCAACAAAGGTCAATGACAACCGACCCTCAAACGCGCAGGGCTGCACCGTCGCATCCTACTGCACATGCATGAGAAGGTCAGGATGTAATCCATCATGAAGAGGGGAAGGCGGACGTCAAGGTACAGTTCCGACTCATAGAGGTAAAAACCAGACAATGGGATCGGGGTACTTGTTGCATAATGACCGATGTATTGCGCGTCTGCGGTGCTACCTGGACGGACGATCGCGGAAGCGACAAACTCTTCCTCCTCGGGGATGGTTATTATCGGGTGCGTGTTGAAGTCTGCGTTGGTCAGCCGGGCGTTGTGTCGGCTACATGTAGCCGGGTTGGGAGGGGGCGGTCAGGGACGCTCCGCGTAAGCCTTCGCAACGTGCTTACAAATGTCGGTTTAGTGACATGTTTTGAAGAGAATGACTGTGATGATTCGTCTCTAACAGGCTTTGCCATCGACCTCAGCATGTCCGGGACCCAACTGCTTCTTCAACTCGACGAAAGCCCCGAGAAACCCTTCTGATCCGACACCCGAGGCAGAGCTTGCAGTTCACTGTCGCTCATTTTGCTGCTTCATCGCCCTCTCTTTGCATGACAAGCCTTGTCCAGTAGACAAGGTAGACAGGAATGCTCCAGTGAACGCCCTGGTAGGTTAGCATGTCAGAAGTTGGCCTCTTTGGCGAGCGACATGGCAATGTATGGTATTCGAAACCATTTGAGTCGATCTGTATTTCATGCGTGAACCCTTCAGATCGGCAAACACCGACCTTAAGTGCTTGCTACCTGACTCACAGAGCCCACACGGAAACAAAGAACCGCTTGTGTTGTTTGGCCCTCTCCCTAAACCTGGCAGGACCGCGCCGACAGTCGCTTCCTCTCCGCTGAACACCTCTCGGCGTCAACTGTCGAGTCCGCAACTTGGTCGCGTCTGTCCCCACCGGAGATATTCAAAACTGCGGATCGGTTGCGATCACGATCTTGGCCCTTTGTTCCTGGGATCTTCCGAACTGCTAGAGGTACCTTACTGATGGGGACGTGGAATAACCCTGGGAGTTATCTTGTCGATAAAGCCTCCCAAAGCATACTGCAAATAATAGGTTGGGTCAAGTCTCCAAACCCTCCCTCCAAGTGGTAAAACAGGAACCCAGGCCACTTGCTTTGGTTTTGCGCAGTCAAGAGTGTATAGGTGCCTAGATTCAAGCAGCAGGGTGTCAACAGTGACTATGGAACCTTGGCCGCTCCAGGCGCGCAGCTACCAAACACAGTTCACATCACAGACAACATTGTCGAAGTTGTCGCTTAAGCGCACCGTAAACTGCTCAATCTTGGGCCCCCTACCCATGGCGCCCGTTGCGCCGCGCAGCATCGGGTTGACGGTCTCGTCGTCGGGCAGCGTCCAGCTGCGCAGGAGGTCCTTCTCCTCCAGGTATGCGAACTCGTCATAACTTGGCCTCCATGTATGGCCAGTAGCCGTCGTCATTCCAGCCGGGCTCGTAGGATGGGACGGGTTGCTCGGGAAGATGCCATCCTCGGTGCACTGGACGTAGTTGGCCCGCTCGGGGCCCTGGCGCGCCTTCTCCCACGCGAGCTTCGTCTCATCCTTGACGAAGAACCACTTGCCGTCGGAAGTGTCGGGTCCGATGTCGAGGTGGAACACGTTCAGCGCCGGGAAGGGGTTGGCGACGGCGGAGAGGCTGTCGAAGAAGTCGACGGGGATGCAAAATTGGCCCGACAGCCGCAGGACGGTGCACGACGGGAAGCTCGACAGGTGGCGGAGCATAGCGGCGGCCCGGTCTGTGGCCAACCGGTCGCGCCAGTTGCTGGGCTTGATGGTTAATTCGTTCCGCGGCGAGCAACGCCGAAGGGCGACTGGACCTTTTCGAGCGGCAGGATGCTCGGGATTTCGGCGAAGGCTTCGAGGATGCATGCGAAGAAATCAGGATCAGCTCACGTCATGAAACGATTACTGCTTGTCAAGTGTGGATTCACTCACACTCTCTCTATGAACGCTTGTCCTCCCTTGACCACCGCGCCAACTCCTGGAACCTGAGGCGCAGCACACGCAGGTCAGCCAGTCGCTTTGATGATTTGAGGGAGGGGGTCCGGCTCGAGAAAGCGGAGAACACGCTTGTTTGTGAAGTAGAGTTCGTCCACTCCCTTCAGCTCGCGGACGTCACCGTCCGAGGGGCGGGCGACAATCTCGTTCGCGGTACCGCTTGGCGGATCGGATTCCCTTCGCCGAGTGTTTATGGTGGTATGCCGTACACCCCCACCAACTATGCCTCCTGTCATCATCGCAGGACAACAGCTCCAGACACATCGGCGTAAGAGCGATGCCGGTCTCGGTGACGAACCGCTCGCCGATTGAGTGACGGGCAGAAAGTGAGGTGCGGGAGGTGGAAAGAAGGCTGCGGAAGATGACGGAGTCTCCGGTCTGGGGGAAGAAGAGAGAGTACGAGAGGAAACTACCGGTTTGAAAATGTGGGTTTCTGATCATCTCCTCGTGTCCTCCCGTGTGCTTGCCGAGAGTTAGAGCTTGGAAGCCCTTGCAGGCCGGCCGGTATCGACGGCGATGCGGGCGAGCGGCCGCCAGAGATATCCCATCCGGCGCCGGGAACATGTTCTTGAGATATCATGGATTAGGCCATAAGAAGGGGTTAACAGATACCCCGGCAACGCCGGGATGGCAACGGGGCCACGCATTTTGGCGGCCAATAACATTAACTTTGATGATGCAATAGCTAGAGCAAAGTGATACTAAAAGAACGTACCGGAAAAACAAATAAATGAACGTGGAAATCGCATGAGTTGAACATCAGTAACTAATTATCAAGCAGGCTGTTCGAGACTGTTGCCCCTTTATATCTATTTTCAGGGGTGATAAAATTTGAAAAGGGGTTGCCAGGAGTACTCGCCAGAACATGAAGTTGGTATCACATCACACAACTTATCAATATCAAGATGCTGATAGAGAATTCAAATGTTGCTTTTCAGTTATAGTCTAGCAGGATAGACAGAAGTGATGACCGGCGAGGGGGCGTTGTAATGCAAGAGGTTGAATGTGGTGCCGAGGCGCTGGAATGCCTCCTTTTCGTGAGCGGCCCGGCCCGCAGCGTAAAGACAAGAGGCCGCACAATACATTGTTCTTGACGTTGGTCAATGGACAACAATAATTGAGCAAGCAGTGTGCCCATTGATTCACAGGCCTGCGCTGGACGAACCAAGAAATACGGTTCTGTCGCCACGGCTTTTACATAACGTACCTGTATCTCGGAGTAAGTCATGATTGTCCGGAATTGGTATCAAACATCTCTGGAACGGTTCCTACCTGGAGTTTTGATCATTTTGAGTCATTCCACTGGCAGCCATCCCACATGCACACTACATCCTGTGCCATCAATTAGCCTCAGGTTCCAAACTTTCCAGGTTCAGCCTTGGGCGCAACCTATCTTAGCACTCAACGTCTGTTCTAAAGAAGACAAACCTATTCTGCCGCTCGGACAAGCAATGCCATTCTCTAACGCTAAATCATCAGTATCCAGGCCATCATGTCATCGACACGTGCAGGTGACCTGCGCTTCCTGGAAACCACGGGAAGCCCCGAGCCCGACTGCGGTGCCGGGCACTGCGAACGTCCCGGAAATACTCCGTGCCTTGTACACCCGTCCCGACTCCTGCGACCCCGCTACAGGGTCCAGCAACCTTTCCAGGCTGCCGCAAGTAAGGAAAGGTATGCTGCCCCGTCCCCGTGTCCTCGCATGGATTTCAGTGCTGTCTTTGCTGACGCAAATCATAGTGTGACAGAAGCCGCGCAACTACGGACGTACCCCACATGTGCAGTTGCGCCGCAGTAGCTTCCCTTGCTTCAATGAGTCGCTTCTAACCATGGCGGCATCCTCCCAAGGCATGGAGCAGCGCGACGATTCCGAAGGAACACATACACCATGCGTGTGCCTACCTCGGCGGTCCTTTTGAAGAGAAGTGCGAAGAACCGGAAAGCCCCCGGTTTCCTGGAGAGATTAATGGCAGATTACCAGTTACTGGGAAATTGGAAGATCGAATTGGAGGACGAGAAGGGGTCGTCGGTGTCTTTGAACGAGTCTCGCAACCCGCCGCGTACGAAGGAAGCCTGGCGGCAGTACGGTAGCCTTTCGGTTAGACATGGAACAAGGCCTGATGGTGATTCCCGGCGCCTTGAAGTAATAGAAAGCACCAGGGTTGCAAGAAACCCATCCCTCGTCTTGAAGGTCCAATTGATCTCGGTCTGTGTTCTTCAATCCCGACTTGTCTGTCTCCCTCGAGCAGCCCCCGCATAAGCTCTCGGTAGGGTACCGTGCTTGCAGTCGGAGGAACATGGCCTTGGCAGTGATCTGTCCTGCTGACTAGAGCTCTTCACTCTGGCAGCTTGTCTTTAAACGTGATCGGCTTTCCCCTTCTTCTTATGCCAGTGTGATGTGGCCGTTACCAGTCAAATATGTGGCCCTGTCGTTCCATGAGGTGCTTGCGCTTGTTAACATTCATGTGTGTTGGCAGCACCCTTCACCGCTCAGTTGTGATCACCCTCTTGACAGCCTGTCTATGCAGTGTTATAATCTCGGTGCTGACACTTGGTATTCGAGTACACCATGGTTCACCTCGGTCAGCGGGCCCTGTCGCTGAGCCGACCAAACCAACTCAACCCCTTTATTCAACAACAAGCCAGTATGTCCAAGACATCCCTTGCTCAAGAGTTTGTTCAATCCAGTTGCCTCCATGTTTGTTGTGTGCTTCCTCCTTGTAGCTGGGTGCGGTAGCTTGCCCTCGTGTGTCTTTTCTGTCTCCGCGACACGGGCTAGAATCAGGTAGTCTTTGTCGAGCGCAACAAGAAGCTCAATCAATGAGTAAATGGGCCCTTTTAATAGGACATGTTAACTCAGTGTCCATTTCAACAGATTGGGATGTGGGCTGATATGCGGTGCAGCATGGATGTTGAGTCCTGGTCGGGTCAGCACCAGACATGACCGAAAGGGCCACTGGACCTTGCTGACAACACGGCTCACCGGCGTTGAATCCAACCCAACGCTCTTGAAGATATGTTAACAGTAGTTTGTCTTCTAAGGATTCTCTCTTTGAAAATTGTTGCCCACTCTTCAAGTTTGACACCGTGACAATCGCTCGGTTGTGGCAACATCAAAGCCGCAGTTGGCTTTCAGGACTCCTGACTCTCTACTTTACAAAGCATGAGTATTTGAACCTTCTGAGGAGCATGTTAGCCTTGTGGTCAAAAAGGAGGGTGACTGTAGAGTGCTGAATCGGGCTTGCGTGGTCCGACTCTGGCACCGATATGCTTGCCCCGATCACAACTCGACGACGGCCATCACTGGCAACAAGACAAACGATAGATATTCAATACTCACTAGTGTCTAAAGTAATGTTTCCTGCATTTTCTTCATCTCAGGCTTGTTTCAGTGTGCTTCGTGGTGTGGGCAGTTGGCCGTGGCCGACTTCTCATCTAAACCCCCCGTGCGTTGTAGGAGGGCATTTTCCACTTACCCTGACGATCTTCTCCCCGGGCTTGCCGACCTGGCAGTCGAATGAACTGTTGTTGCAGCAAAGTGGCAATCTTACAGGCGCCCGCTTCTGCTCTCTGCTCGTCTATAAAAACAACCGATTTCATCCTGCCTCAACACCAAAGTTGAAACCATCACCGACGAAATCTCGAGTCATTACCAAGCACCTCCAGTCTATATCGCTCTCAACAGCCTACCATTACAAGACGAATACATTGAGTTTCTGCAGAACGCCGCCATGTCGTAAGTCATCACAGCCTTCGTCTTCACCTTACCTCCTCCTTGGCTTCTTCCCTCTGGGGCTCTCCGTCAGAACATACCAACCGCCCCCGGCCAAGGACAACTCAATCATGCGACCGGAGCAACCAATCCTCTTGATTCATCCCTCTTGAACTCTTCTTCATTGGACTCTTCCCTCTTGGCTACTTCCCTCCTGGCTCTTCTTCCCTCTTGGCTGCCTGTCTTCGCTCTCAGCCTTGCGACTCTTGGCCGCTTGCCCTCCTCCTTGCTCTTGTCCTTACCCTTGGCTTCCACAACTCCTTCACCATGTCGCGCCCCATGCTCTCTTCAAAACGCCACCTCTTCCTCCCTATCAGCCCACCCACCACGTCTGCTTCATTGACCTCTTCTTGTTCACCTATCATGCCTTCTGCCCTCTTGGCCCTGCCTGCTAACCCTTGGCCCAATCTTCACAGCAACAACAACGACGAAGTCCTCGACTATCACCGCCAATCGGTGAGCTTCATACCCGTGGCTGCCCAAGCTACTCACTTGGTCGACCATTTCATCACCTCGGGCGTCACATGGAGGAGGCTCTACCGAGAGGCTTGGTCGAAGGCGTTCTGGGCTGAGAACGGCAGCCTTCAAGAGACATGGTACAAAGCCATCATCTCTGAGATGGAGCTCCGCGGTAAGTTACCATATCTTTATTCCGGCCCTTTTCTCTGTGTTGCTTCTTCCTTTTTTCTTGGTCTCTCCATCTTCTTCCATCCGCCCACGCGTCCTTACCATTCTCTTCCGTCCATCCACGCGTCTTCGCATCGCTTGGAAGAAATGATGCTAACTACACTGTTTCACACAGTCTCCGGTGCCGTCCATGCGGGCATGCGTATGGGGCCGCCCGAGAACTTCCAGTGCCCTGTCCAGTAAGGACAGGAGTGGGCGGTGCCTGATCCGCCTCAATTTCGGCGTTTAGTTGCTGGGCTCACTGTGCGCAAGCTCAACTTCAATATTTGAGCTGAGAGGGAGAGAGGGTGCACAGAGGAGGCGAAGGTCCTGCAAAGACTGCTTTGGAAGCCAGTAAGTGCCCACTTTCACATCTCTTTTCGCTTTTGTTCCATCCTGGGAACGATCCATGCCCTTTCATGTGCTAATCACACGTGGTCCAGCGTGCCGGCTTCGCGCGTTTCCCCCAAGAAGTAGAAGAGAGGGCCAAGAAGAAAGACGAGCTCCGTTGTGACCTTGGCTTCGAGGTCAACGAGTTCGTCTTGGTCCAGCTCTTCCAGTCAAGATTCCCTTCATGGTGACCCGACAAGACAATCCACAGTTAGGTATATTCTTCATTCTACCTTCGATTCATGTCCACAGCTGACCATTTTGTTCACAGTCCAGCCTCGCTGCCTTTGACGCTGGCTACGGCTCCGTTGAATTTCCGGACCCAGAGGCCGCCCAATGGCTCTCAGTCACAAAGGAACTTCGGTGCCCATCTCAACCCTTCTCGTTAAGGCTTGAGTTTGGAACTGATGTCCCGTTGAGTCTGAGGGCCTCTGAGGTCGAGAGTTCGCTGAACTGGGCTGCTCGTAGTGGCTTGGCCGAGAGCTGGCGCCCCAGAGATGCAGGAAGAAAGTAAGGTTGGCCAATCTTCTTTGCCCTTGATGTTCACACTTGTTAACCAGCGCACACGCAAAGCTCGTCTCATTGCCTCCGCCACCGGCTATTACTTTGTCGATTGGCAGCTAGCCCGCCCCGTCTCGCAGCTCTAAGACGGTCCGTTCCAAGTCCAATTCAGTCACCCAGCCCGACCCAGAAGCCGCCCAGAAGGCCTTCAATCTGAACGGAACACCGACGTCCAACTCAAGCCCTTGTTTTCAAGTCCAACCCTGAGCTCAACTGAACGTTGGGTGGTGGCTGGTGGACTATCAGCCCGCCGGATATGCCCCAGAAAGTATGTTTCGCCAGTGTTCCCCCCGTTTTTTTTTTTGGTTCACTTTGCTAACACGCACACACAGGGTTGTTTCAGGCCTGGAGTAAGGCATTCTCGGATGGTCAGGCCGCGCCGTTCAACTCGATGCAGCCCATGAACCGATTCACGGACCCGAACAATACCAGTGTTCGTCGGCGATCTCTCGGGCTACGTCACTGAGGATGAAGCTCCGTTCCCTTCATGTTTCCAGGACTCTCGGTTTCGACAAAAATGCTGCCCAGAAGGCACTCGATCCGAACAGGAACACCGATGGCTAACGCAAACCGTGTTTTCAAACTCAACTGGGCGTCACACCGCGTTGGGTGGTGGCTGGTGAATTGCCGGCCCGCCTGGAGGTGGCCCAAGAAATTATGTTTGACCAGTCTCCTTTGCGTTTTATGTCCTGTCTACTCTGCTAACGCGCACACAGAGTCGTTTCGGCCCGGGGTAAGGCATCTTCAGATGGTCAGGGGCGCCGTGGATGCAGCCGATAAACCAATCCACGGAGCCCGAGACACGGCTTTCCTGATTCCTCGTCGATGGCTTGCGCGGATCCTTCACGGCGGAACGTTGGCCGCTTGCCTTGCCTTTTACCTTTGGCTTCATCAATCTCTTTCACCTCTCATCTGAAGATGAACTTCGTTCATACTTCCAAAGCTTCGGAGAGATCACCTACATCAAGATTCCTCCCAGCAAAAGCTGTGGCTTCGTTCAATTCGTTCACCGCCATGCCGCCGAGATGGCAATCAACCAGATGCAAGGGTACCCGATCGACAACTCGCGCGTTCGTCTTTTCTGGGGCCGGTTCCAGAACAACGTATCGAGTGGCTTGGTTGGTTGGTGGTCCGCCAGAGATGTTGCAAGAAAGGTAGTTAGGTATGTTTTGGCCCATGTTGCTTTGCCTTTCATGTTCACCCTGCTAACCCGCACACACAAAGCCGTTTCGGCCCGGACACCAGCATCAATGATGGAGGGGTCCACGATCTTCGAGCGCAAGAAGAAGGAGATGGACGACTGGGTCGCGGAGGAGTGCAGGAGAGCCATGAAAAACCCACTGCCGCGGCCGTCATGGCTGGCCCTCTGACGCAAGGGGAAATTCTACTTCATGTGCACCTGGGCACGAGAGTGGGTGATCAGGAGAGGTGGCATATTGTCAAAAAGAAAGAAAAAGGAAACCGAAAATAGAGGTGCGTCTGCTGACATTCCCTTGCAGTTCATGAACAACAACCTGCTAACTTCCTCACAGTCTGATGACGACAACAGCCATCCGGTGGCTTGATGCTGACGTCCGGCAGTTGGATTCTCCGATTCCGGGTGCTGGATTGGATAACGCATCATGCAACGGTAAGAGTCAATGGTGGGCTTGCCCACCGCCGCACACATCCCCAAGGATAATCGCCATGCAAGCCTTGCTTGCTTCTATGGATACTTTCAAGTATCAAGGACATCCAGAAGACCCTGTGGTAAGTCGGCTTTGGCAGAAAGTCATTCGGGTGCACCTGAGCTAGCACTTCACACAGGATGGGCAAGATGGAGGGCTGGATGGATGAGGCCTTCATCATCGGCCTCTCTCTTCCAGTCGAGATACCCGTCCAGCAAGTCCGCGGCCGAATCCGAAAGCTCGGCTCCGAGGAGACGGCTGGGAACACCGGCGCCTAAATCAACCCGCGGCTATGGGTTTGTTGGTCCCAGCGACGAGTCGGACAAGCAGCGCGCTCTGCTAGAGATGCAGGAGATGTACTGCGGCAACCGGCCCATGCGGATTTTGACTGCCACCCCAAAGACCCGATCGCACTATGGCATGCATAACAAGCGATTCGGCCGCGCCCGCTTTACCGGCCAGGGCCGCCGTCTGGTCCGCGATGGCATCCCAGCCTGCCGGCCGGTGCCTGGCGAAAGACGATTGGGTGAGCAGGGCCGGGAGGGAGGGATGGCGCACAGAGGAGGTGACGAGAGGTGGCTGGCTACGAAATCGTCTGCGTGACACCTTCAGACCTTCTTCCGCGGAGGTATCCTGAAGGTCGAGCGGAAGGTCTTCATGCCGGTTGCTGCCTCGCACTGCATGACCCGAGTCCAACAACAGCATTGTCACGCACGCTTCGTCCGGTTCGTCCATCGCCATGGCCGCTGCCAACCCAGGTTGCCGCTGCCACCGACGGCGGCAACATGAACATTCAGCTCTGCCCATGCTGCCGTGTGCCTTTCGACTGCTGCGCCGATAACGGCACCATCGGTTGCCCAGGCGCCCATTGTCATCGACGACGACGAAGAGCCCGATCCTTGAGGCTGCGGCCGGATTCGAAGGGCTCTGCTCCGAAGGAACGGAACTCGATTCGCAGCGTTCGACTACCTCGAAGCCACAGATTAAAACGCATTTCTTTCGGGAAGCCGACCCAGACACCCCGCGCTCGGACGGGTACTCGAACTGTACGGGCTCGAGGAATCATCACCTCAGCCGCGACAAGGGCAGCATCTCCCTGAAGATGTTTGCTTTCCTCTACCGCGAGGCGGACCATCACCTAAAACCCAAACAACTACACTCTTGCCAGCATCGATGAGGTGTTGGAAAAGGACGCGAGATGACGATCAACCAAATGCAAGGTTACCCGGGAGATACCCGATGCGGGAACTCACCGCTCGGTGTGTCCTGGGGTTGGTCGTAGGACAACTCGGGGGAGTCCAGGTTGCTTTCGATTGCGCTGGGGAGGTTTCAAAAAACAAAAAAGAAAGAAAGAAAAGAGTTTTGGGGGTCCTGGCGCTGGTCGCTGGAGAGGCGTTGAGTTGCTGGGAAGGGAGTCGAGGCTGCAAGCACGTGGATGTGGACAAGGACTCGCCCCCAGCAGAATCTGGGCTTGCCCCAGTGCATGAAGGGCCAGCCTGGTCCAGAAATGCCGCCACACCTTCCACTTCCGAAAGAAGGGGAGATTCCCGGCTATGATCATAAGGGTTCAAGAACATGGCGAGGGAGGTGGTGACTGAGGATTGGAAGGGTAAGGGCAAGGGGAGTTGATTGAGAGGAAGTTGCTGCTGGAGGATAATGTGACTGGGGAAAGGTTCTGATAGACGATTCGGACGGTACCGATGAAATCTGAAAGTTTCTCAGAGGGAGACACCGCCAGGGCTGGTGAAAGGGAGTCAGTCGAGTAGGCGGGACGGGAATCGGGTTGATGGGAAGGGTCTAGGGGTTTGTTTTTGTGTTGATTCTGGCTTGCGGCGAGGGATGATATCTTGATAGATCCATCCTTGAGCATGCCCATTGTTCTGGTGGGAAAGGGATCGATTGAAAGATGATGGGGACGGATGGGTCCAGTCGGGGGATACTTCTGTTGTCCGGGGGACTGGAAAAAGCAGATCGAGCTCAGGGCTGTTTTAGACTTGTATCATCAATCAAACTGTCCTTAACAGGTGTTGGGCAAAAGGTGATTGTCAATGCAGGTACGGTTCTTTGTTCTCAACTCTTATTGCAGCTTAGGCGATGCTGTGTCTCCCACCTCATCTTACTTGTCGCCTGTGAGTCTGCGAGAAGTTGCAGAACGTTCTCGAATACTGACTTGGATGCAGATCAGCGGACATCTGTGACCTTTCCGATGCAGGAGATCCAATTTCCAGGTCGTGCTGCCAGCTTCAGACTCGAGGAAGTTGGAAACTGATCATCAGGCTAACTGCCGGCTCTTCTTCAACGCCGCGGCTCTGCAGCGGCAAGGTCATTACAGCCGAGATGGATTCATCTGAGGAAATTATCACGTCCCTGGATTCTCCGGGCTGCGGGGTTATGGGCAAGCACAGTCATGATCAGAGTGTACAAAGGTTCAGCATGGCCGTCACTTTGGGAGGATGCGTCCAGCATCTCGTCCTGGGCCAGAAGAAGCAGAGAAAAGAGAATCAGCAAGCGATGGCCTCGATTTTGTCCATTGCAGTCTTGACGGCTGTTCTTGGCCCAGCAATTGGCAATGTCTTCGCTCAAGCGCAATTAGCCGCTGGGTGCACCACCAACTCGTTTACAGCACCGAGCTGGCTGGTTGAGAACTTTGAGTCTCAAACATCAGGGGGCGCCGTGGTTGCCTCTTTCCAGGCGCTCAACCGAGCCACCAAGACATCGCTTGAGCTGAGATGCCAGACTTCCCTGGCCAACGCGACAGCAGGATGGCAAAGATGCTCTCCAAGGAACAGCACCAGCTCGGGCGTGACATTGGTCGCTTCTTTCCAGGCCGATTACTCGACAGCCTGGTTCATGTTCAATGAGACTTGGTCCTGCAGCGACCTTAGTCCAACCAAGCCGTAAGATTCCTGTCTCTCTGTTACCCGGCGTTGACTGACGTGCCACGTCGTGATGCTGCAGGATTACGTTCACGGCTGTCAGCAACTCCTCGGTACCGCTGGACTGCACGACACAGAGCCAGACCACGACCTGCAAATCTATCAAGCCATTGCTCATGAAAGCCACCCTGCTCTCCCCCGTCAAGATCACCCCAGCGTACGTCACTGGACCACCCGGGCACGACACCGAAGGCTGCACGGCACAGTCGAGAACACCAGCATGGGAGGTGGTAGCCACACAGATGAATTTTGGGAGAACCACCAGCGCCTTTGTTATCGTCAGAAACGACGGATTGGGCTACAGTGCCACCTGTGCGGGAGCTCTCTCTGCCGACCTTGAGGGGCCTCAGCTCTTGACCTGCCAGGGCCAGACTGCGTATCGCCGCCCAGCCAAATACCAGATCGGCACCACGCTCTCATTTAACCCCAGGACCTTCGGGTTGACCGTCAATCAGACCTGGTTCTGTGACGATCAGGACCCGGCACAGCCGTGCGTCGACCCCTTCATGTTGTCCCAGCTTTTACCCGCCGCTAATACCTCAACCCACCAGCGTCTCCATCACGGCCTCCGGCACGACTATTCTTCCCCTAGAATGTCAACACTTTGTCTTACCCGACGAAAACACGACCTTCTGCACCGGCGGCTCAAACGGCACCTTTTCCGGCAACATCACCTCGCGAGCCCTGCTCCAACCCTACTCGCTCAACGACCCGCTCTCCACAGCCGACAGCTGCACCATCGCATCCGTCGTCTCGCCGGCCTGGTGGCTCAACAACTTCGAGACCGAGACCACGACATCCAACAGCCAGGTTGTCAGGGCCCAGTTCGACATGGAGCTGCAGACGGGGGGCCCGGGACGGCAGCCGACGGGGAATGGTGGAACGCTCGTTGCCGACGGGGTGCATGTCTCGAACGTTTCGACGAACTCGTCGTCGGAGCTGCCGTGGGACAAGTGCGAGCTCTACGCGGTAGGCGATACCGCGCTGGCTCCGACGGGGTGTGAGATGAGGTATGACATGGCGAGTCGGTTCTTGGGGTTGAAGGTGGATTGGCGGTGCGCGGATCTGGATCCGGGGAGTCCGTAAGTTGTCCCGTATCCGCCCATGCTGCCTGTTGGGACCAGTTGAGGAACGTTCGGGATGTGCTGATTGTGACGGTCTCTAGGGTGACCTTCAGCGGAGAGGTGCGGACCCAGGTGCCGGAGTACACCTGTGTCACCTCGGGCACGAACATACGGTGCGCTTCGCCTGATCCGAAGCCGTGGAGGGCCAATGTCACGTCGGTGACGTGGCGGTAGAGGGTATCGGTAAGAGGAAGAAGGGGAAGAAGAGGCGGTTGAGGGAGGCAATGTCGGCTGACACTAAGGGGCAATCATCCAAGAGATGCCCATATAAACATGCAGTCAATCACAACTGTCGATCTGGGAAAGTGACGTTTATTTGCGTACTGTAAATGCCCTGTCAGCGTTGCTTGCTAGCGCCTGAGCTGAAGCTACTGCATGCGATGAGGTCCCTCTCAAGGCCAACAGATTTCCAGTGGTAGGTGTGGTAGGCTTCGTCCTGTGCCTGATCTTGGCAACTAAAAGGGAGACCGCGCCAACTGAACTCATGCAACATGCCGACCTAAATCAAGGCTTGTTGACTGGACGCTCCATTACACAATCTCAAAAGTCCTCCAACTTGTACACCTCGTACGCAGGTTCCTCATACGGATGTGCCCTGCCCAAGTTAGTTATTGTGCCGTACATCCAACCCCAGCATGTCCAGCCGCGCGGACGACCTACTTCTTCAGCGCCGCAACCGCCTTGCGGGCGACGTCCTCGCCGACGCAGAGGGTCTCAACCTTCATCTCCTCGACCGTCTCCAGCTCGCCGACCTTGCCAATGTGGGGGTTGGCGCTGGCGCCGGGCCGGAACTGGCCGGTCCCGGTCGTGGTGTAGCAGCACTCGGTGTAGTTGCCTGGGCCGGGATACCGCCCCGCTCCGGCAGCGAAGATGGCGCTTTTGCAGGCGTCTAGCGCCGAGGGAGGCACGTGGAAAACGAGCTTGTAGCGCGTGAGTGCCGATGCCATTGTCGACGGAAATTCATGAGCCAAAATCCAGATGGCTGATTCTGCTGAACAGCCAGTTGTACCAGAAGATGGTGGGGCCCCAATCTGCTGCTATTGGAGCTGCAACTGGTGTCCTTTTCAATCCAACAGATTCAGAACTGACAAAGCTGAGCGGACTGGGAATATGAATTCCCTGGTATCTTCCGAAAAGCTTTCAGGTCTCCCGCCTGAGTTGCATATCACCAGGTTGTCTTGGAGATAGCCCGGGTGGGGTGAGTCAGGTCGGGCTATAAGTGGGGTTGGAACCCCTGCCTGACCCCGCAGATGGGATCCCTTTCCGTTCCCTCCCGTCAGTTCCAACTTCCCAGTTTTCTTCCTGAAAGATGCATCTGCACGCCGAGTATCACGTTGCCTCGCATTCGCCAAACGGAACTTGAACACCAAGCGCGACATATCGGATTTAGTGAGATTACTACCTAACTAATTAAATCCAGGTCACACACGACATCATGAGAATATCACCCGGTATTCGTATCCCCAATCCCGTCGTCCCCATCCTGGCATTATCACATTATGTTCATCTCATCATTAGGGAGCGTAACCTTTTCATCCTCCACAATATCAATCCTCAACCCTCTTATTCCTCGTCTCCTGTACGTCCCGACCCATGCGGTAACACGGTAGGTACCGTTTCCTTCCATAGTTTTACCAAAGGCGGAAGGGCCTCGCCCGCCCATTCGCCCCAGCAGTCGCAATACTGCTCGTCACGCCCGGCGCCCTACCCGTCGTAGTCGTCGACGCAGGCGGGCGAGTAGCAGGTGGCTGCGACGAAGGCTGGCCACCACCGCCTCCTGTCTTGGTGGTGATGGTCAAGGTTGTCTTGGAGGTGAAGGTGGAGGGAGGGAAGCTGCTGCCGCCGGAATGCGGCGGCTTGGACGAGTGAGGCGGCTTGGATGAATGCGAGGGAGGGAAGCTGCCGGTGGAGGTGGTGGTCGCCGGGGGCTTGGACGAGTGCGGCGGCTTAGACGAGTGCGAGGGAGGGAAGCTACCCGTGGAGGTGGTGGAGGTTTCGGGGCAGTCTTCGGTGGTAGTGGTCGTCTTGGTCTTGGTGGTGGTGGAGGTTTCGGGGCAGTCTTCGGTGGTGGTGGTCGTCTTGGTCTTGGTGGTGGTGGAGGTCTTGGGAGGGACGGAAGGGGTCGACGTCTCGCAGTCTTCGGTGGTGGTCGTCGTCTTTGTCTTGGTGGTGGTGGAAGTCTTGGGAGGGGCCGAAGTGGTGGAGGTCTCGCAGTCGTCCGTGCTGGTGCTGCTGCTGGTGGTCTTGGTAGAAGAAGACGACGACGAGCTGGTCTTGGTAGAAGACGACGACGAGCTGGTCTTGGTAGAAGACGACGACGAACTGCTTGTGCTGGACGATGACGATGACGTGGAGGAGGAGGACGACGACGACGACGAAGTGGACGAGGTCTTGGTGCTAGTCACGGTGCTGGTGGTGGACACCGGCGGCAGGCTCGAGGTGGACGTGCTGGTCGAGGTCGTCGAGCAGCCCGTGGCCGTCACGATGGTGTAGCTGGTTGCACAGCTGAGACCCTTGCACTGCTCGTGGCAGGGGAAGGACGTGTACGACGTGGCCGGGACGTTGGGGCAGCCACAGTTCTGCGTCAGCGTGCTCAAGACCACGCACGCGGGGACGGCGCAGGTGCGACATTGCTCCTTGGTAGCCGTGACGGTTGGACAGCCAGTCTGCGACGCAGGAGGCTGCGTGGTGTGGTGGTTGTCGGTGGCGGCAACGGGGGCGATGCTGTGCGAGGTAGGTCAGCATACCTGATAAGTTGTAGCAAGGCCAGTCTCACGTTGGAGACTTACACAGCAGCCCCGGCCGCAAAGAAGACTGCAAGCGAGCAGCGCATCGTGGACTGAAAAACGAACGACAGTCGGTCCGGTGCACAGTTGAGCGATTGTGTTTGGAGAGCTTTCTCGTGTCACCAGCCTGGGGGAAACGGCTTTACTTATCCAGGTCGGCACAAAGGATTGCCTGGCCACCGGACCGAGTCCAGAGTTGGTGACCAGGCCATGACGCTCTCCCTGCTGGGATTTTTACGAGATCTGGTCGCTGGGCAACATGTACCCATTGTCATGGCGGTCACGATACGGTGGAGTGACAGCACAAGTCCCGGAAGCGGTCGGCGCGGGGTATCGGCACCCGCCATTGGCCGGGCCGGCCCCAACCGGCAGGGCGGACCTCGTATTGAGGGACGCCACAACCCGGTGATTTGTCGTGCTGACTGGGTACGGCTCTTGGCATTGACGACATGCATGCAACGGCCGTGACGACGGACTGCATTCTATGGTCAACTGCAGGCACACCAACCCAGTTTTGGACCAGATCGGTGCCAACACTGCCAACACGTCCTCGGGAAGACTTTTGTCGCTCCCGTATTTGACTGACATGGAGAATCCTATACGGCTTGCGTTCGCTTGTCGTGGACTTGACATACCCAGCAGAGGCGGTCGGACGGACATTGGGCCACATCGACGTTCTCGACGACAACCAGCCCGAACAGGTCTTCTCGAAAAAACAACGTTCCCAGACCCCCAACTAAGGTTTCCGAGGTTCTCCGCCGGGCAATTGCTGGCAGGAACTCGACCGCTGCGGCAAGCTTGCAAAAGCAGTAACGAACATTATCGGCGAGTCGTGGATATCAGCGAGTCGTGGCCTGAGGTTATTTTTTGCAGGTGCAAAATAGGAAGATGAACTAAAAATTGTTAGTGCACCTTGACAATTTTGAACCATTTTTTCTTCGTCTGATATACACTAAAATACCGGAGGCCACGACTCGCTGACACCCACGACTCGCTAACACCCACGACTCGCTGATAATGCACGTTAGGGACCGACATATGACTGTGTTGAGAAGAGAACCAACGAATGGAACAAGTACCCTGGGTGAGAAGGATCCGTCTTGCTTTGCCCAGGTGTGCTGTTGCCGAGCCGACCGAAAAGAAACCCTCAACAACCTCCTGCGGTATGCACGTGAATTTCCCGTACATCTCGAAGTACTTGAGACCCGACTCGCATGAACCCGTTTGAATTGTTCAGCAATGCCGCATTCACATGAAAGTCTGTCAGTAATATAGCCGCCACGCTTTCAGAGCCTCATCTCACAAGCGTTCCGTCATCAACACCAAGCCAGCACGGCCGGATGGTCAGCTTTTGACCACAGCCGGCTGTAGCCCTGCCATTGGGACGGGTTATAGGCGCTCAGCGTTCTCAGATTTCTAGGTCATCGACTCAATTTTATGATTTTTCTCACCTTTACCTCTTCCTAAAACGCTTTGTCGGTCAGGTGGGGGTCACCCGTCCCAATCCGAGCCACCCTCTCCCGCGGCCATGGTGACTCTCGGTACATGGGATGTTTGTCTTTGAAATGCACACACCAGACCAAGTTGTTTGTCAACTGTGGCTATGGAAACAGCTTGGTCACCCTCGACCGTCGCAGCCCTACCAGGAAAGTTCCAGCCGAACGATTCAATCATCCGTTAATTAGCATCCCTGGTTCTCATCCATTGCTACTTAAGTTGCCACCCGGAAATCTGTGAAGAACACTTCATCTCAGAATCATAATCTTCTGTTCAACATGTTCCTGTTGCTTTTTTTGTGGTTTGATACACTACCACCTGTGTCTATCCTGAAATCCGTGTCCGAGCTCCGATCCTCTCCGCCATAATCCCCTATGACGACCAAGGATACTTCAAGCACCACAAACCCTCGCAATCATCATCAGTTTGCAATCCAGTCTGGTTTTGTTTCCTAGTGTGGTGTGGCACAAGGCAGGCCTTGGGCAAGAAGAGAAAAGTGGGAAGTAAGAGGAAGAGGGTAGGAAATTGGAGAAAGAAACGAAGAATATAAAAGAGGGGACTGAGAGAAAAGTACAGAACCAGGGGGGGAATGAAAACGGCATGGAAAAAGAAGATCGAGAAAAGACACGGATATAGAGAACAAAGAGCGAGAAAAAGATAACTGAAAGAGGGAAAACAAACTTACTCACCTCGAGTCAAACACTAGGCAGTGTGCCACTGTTTCTTCATCCTGTCCGGAGGACAATTTTGCTGCCAAACTTTTGGAAATTACTATGGGAAAGTTGACGGAAATTGATAAGGAATTGCGGAGCCCTCTTATCCGCCCCTGGGGACTGGTCCGTGGCTTTGCGCCCCACTACTTGCCTGATTCGGCTGTGCCGCAGGCTGGCCTTTTCCATGCCGCCTGCATGCGAAGCTAGCCGCACCCACCTAATTCCTGTCCTCAACTTTGTTTACATGGCCTCTCGACATCGTCAACAACGACCTACGATGTTGCCCTCCTGCAACCACCCAATTTCCAGCTTCTTTCCTTCTTGGTTTCAGAGTATTCCCGTTATGGACAGGTTATTCTGTCACTATGGAGGGCGCTGTCCCTCAAGCGCAGTGGAAAGTTTGTCGCGACTGCAACGTTGAGCAGCCGATCGATCAGTTTTTGGATCGTCGTGGTAACGGCAGGATTGTCAGAAAGTGCCTGGATTGCCGGGACAAGCAGAGGGCATCAGTTACGATTCAATTGTTTCCATTCTATCGTTCTTCATTTCCAAGCTGACTAGCTGACTTGGTACACCAGGAACATGCGTAGAATGCTGCTATTTCGGCAGCCAGTGCGATCGCCCGCCGCGCGGCCGCCGCGCCTTCAACTCCCGCCCCAGTCCATCTGCGCCGCGGCAGAACCTCACGCATAGGGTTCTTGCGAGCATGTACCACGAGGGCGGGCGCGTTGACACCGACACCCCAGAGATGGCGGCTGCTCGTGGCCAGATTTCGGCCATTCAGCGCCAGCACCGCGTTCAACGGCGCCACGGCGAGGAACCTTCTCAGACTCCGACAATGAGTCCTTTACTCCGTCAACAGCAGCCAGAAGCTTCCGACGACAGCTTCGTCTCATCTGCTCGGGATGAGGAGTGTGCTGTGGGGGATGACGATGACGATTCACAGGCTCCTTCATCTTCACAGCTGCCCCGCCTTGGCCGAGTTCCCCGACGCCGCTCCTCTCCCTCCAGGTCATCGTCGCAGTCTCGTGGCCGCCCACGCGGGCGGCCCCGGCTCTCACGCCCTGGACTGTCTCGTGCTAGCACAATCGGCCGTCCACCACATGCCCGCAACCCAGTTGGTCAGCCCTCTCGGCCCTCTCGTGATTGCGAGACACCTCTACGCGATTTCGACGAGCCTGGTCCGCACTTCTCGGGCGACGATCAAGAGTCACCGCTGTCACCAGAAGACGTTGCGATCAAGAGGGAGTTTGATGAAGCGCTCGGAGCGGAGGAGATGAAGCGGTGCCCCCGCTGCAAAGAGCGCTGGTTCGACATCAAGCTCATGGCCGATGGGGTTTGCAAGCGCTGTCACGACAAGGACGATAAGAAGAAACAGGACGAGCCGTTATACTTCTCAGCCGCAAATCACCTCGACTTTGGATCTGTCCCGGCCGAGTTACCGCAGTTGGAGCCTTTGGAGGAGATGTTTATTGCGAGGGTGCATGTCAGCGTTAACATCTTCACGGTATGCAGCGGCTGGTCGCAGGTGAGCGTCAGGGCTAACACAGCTTAGGTCCGGGGACAACAGTACAAGTATCGTGGGCATGTGGTACACTTTCTGCGAGACGTCGGCAAGGCGTATTCCGAGCTCCCTCTCCTGCCCAGTGACCTCGACATCGTTATCCTCCGTCCCCGCGGCTCCGAGGGTGTGGAGCAGATGTCTTGCCAATTCCGCCGCCGTTTCCGTGTCCGCCGGGCCGCAGTCGAGGCCTGGCTCAAGTTTCTTGCAGCCAATCACCCTGGCTACAGGGATTTTGTTTGGAACTACGAGAATCTCTCGCAACTGCCAGAGGACGGCGACGTCTTTGACCAGCTGAGCATCCACGAGGTCGAAGACCTCGATGGATTGCCTGCGGATTTGGGCCCGGTTGAGGAAGAAGGTGACGATGCAGAGGCTGCCGACGAGGCTGCCGTGCCGAACCTGCTCATTCACGACTCGGAGCTGAACCAAATCCATGGCCGCATCAACGATGGCCCCAGCGATACTAGCGAGCAGGTGCCTTTGCAGGCGGTTGATCCCCGTGCCGCTCACCAGCTGCAGATGCCCTCCTTCCGGCGTACTCCTCTCGACGAGTCAACCAGAAGTACGCCTTGCTCTCGTTGGCCTGTCCCACTCTATTTCCCCGTGGCGCAGCGGACCTCGTCGAGCCTAGACAGCGCAGCATCACGTACCAGGATTACATCCAGCACGCGTTGAAGTGGGAGGATGGCCGGTTTGCCAGGCACCACAGCTTCCGCTTTATCGCACTAAACACGTTGATGCGGCAACAGGCTAGGGGTCACAGCAAGTTTTTTGTCAGCAAGACCCACAGTATGCCTCTGACGAAGGAGGCACTCCAGCAGGCGCTCGCCGACCCTGACACCCCCGAGGCCCAAGCCATTCTCAACAGGATTTCTCGGTTTGCTGGCGTAATTAAGGGGACGCGCCCATTTTGGTGCCGCCGACGCCGCGAGTGCGAGTCCTTCGCACACTGCATCGGGGTCCCCTCCAGCTTCATCACCCTGAGCCCGGCAGACTTGCACTGGCAAAGCCTATATCAACACATGCCCGAGTACGAGGAGTGGAAGGCTCTCGACGAACCGAGGCGTATGGCCAAGTCCCGCCGCCTCCTTCGGGAGAACCCACACATCGCGGCTTGGCACTTCCACTCTCGCAATACGTTGTTCCGGGACATTGTACTGAAGAAGAAGTTCAATATGGAGGACTTCTGGTGCCGTTACGAGTGGCAAGGTCGCGGGAGCAGTCACTCTCATGGGCTGTACTGGTTTGCGGGCAGCCCCCCGCCTCATATGGCGACGCCCGAGTCGAGGGCGTACTTCGCAAGGGTCTGGGGTCACCACGTGACAGTGGTGACGAGGGTAGCTAGTCGAATTAGATACGATTCAATGCAGTTGCAGTATACGGGAATCATTGGCCGACGGACAGGTTTCTGGCGCTTCGTCTCTCGCACCATAATGAACACAGTAGTATACAGTACGAACAGTTGATGAGCCGATTGTCCTCCAACAGGGACAGGAAAATTGCCAGGAGCGAGAGAGAGGAAGGAAGCGCCCCGTAACGTAGCGAAGGGCCGCGCGACTGACGAGCGAAGCGACGCCAGCAATTTTAAGTTCCACGCTAGGTAACAAAACAGACAGTTAACAGGGATGGACTGTGTTTTTCTCAGTCCCTCGTTTGACGCAGCAAACTAAACATATCCCGTTCCGCTCCCCCGTCTCGACAATTCTCCATGGGCCTGAGGCCTTGCATCCTTGTAGTCGGTGGCTTGTCGAGATGACACCGGGGACGATCAAGGGAGAAGAAGCGCTCCAAATTTTTTGCTGGATCAAGATGTCAGAAATGGTCTGTCTGATCACTCAACAGTGAGACTGCGTCATCGGCCCCTAACCACTAGACTGGCCTTAAGTGTGACCTTCTACTAAGGACAGGTCTATGTACATGGCGACTACTTACGTAGGTATACCATAGAGTGGAGAAGAGACATTGCTGCATCTCCTGTTGAACGTCATTGTCGCTCTGAACTTGAGCGAGGCTCTATTGGGCTTGGGTACATGTAGGTGGCTTTCTCTGCCTAAGGTGGCTTCCTCGCGACATTAGGGGATTCAAGATGCTTGGTAAGGTAGGAGCTGGAGCAAAAGACAGGAGAAAGGTCACGGTATTGCGCAGACTGTCGATTGCAAATCCCGAGGCATCGATTCAGATTACCGCTGATGATTGACTGTCACAAGCCAACAGCCCAGTACGGAGTACCGGGAGTAAACGAAGCTTTTTTCCTTTTCGTCAGAGATATGGAAGAATATCAACTCGATCAGTCCGGCCCGCGCGAATCGTGTTGGGTATACCTGCCCGGGCCTCCGGCTGGCCGGCCTGCAGAGCTGCACCTGCCCGAGTGTGTGACTAGCCGCCGCTGTAACTGTGATACATGTGCTTGTACATGATTGAGCCAGCCAGATCTGCGATCTGGCGAGCCATTGGGGCCTGACGCCGTGGCACTTCAGTAGAGGAAAGACCGGATTTCACTGCGATATGTGTCAGGAGCAACATGAAGTGATCCTCCGGTCTGGCCGGTTGGCGGAGTGCTGCCCTGGTCGGACGTCCCCCGGCATTGGGGCCCAAGCGGGAAATTACCGGCGCTGATCGCAGGGTCCAGGCCGGGAAATGACGAACTTAGAACCTTATCCCGACAACAGCTGGTGGTTAAGGTAATGGCGCCCACAACAAGAGACTCAGCAATCGTACTATGAGGCTCGCGGAGGACAGGATGGTTACACTGAATGGGATGAATCGCAATACTCCCGTCACCTCAAGTTTGTCTCGCCGTCACCGGAGATTTCTGTGTCATGGAGGAACCGGGGGTGCCTTCCCCAATTCATCAACCGAAACAGCACCCCACTCCCCCCGCTTAGCTTACCCGCTGCCCTGCGTAACCCCGCGCGACGGTGGCGCAGATCCGGCAGCGTGACATTGGAGATTTTCAAACTTGAGCACCTAACCTCTTTTCCTTTCCGCTGCTCCAATGGGCATTGTCTGGGTCTCAACCAAGCTTTTTGCGTGGTTGGCAGGCGAATACCACAGGCCTGGCCGCCATGGCTGAAGACCATTTTTGTTCTAGCAAGACACGTGTAACCGGGAAAAGTACCGGTTGACCACCTGCCGTATCTCGCAAAACCTGTCTTTGTCTCCCTGACAGCTCCCTGAGCACCTTCGGCGTTTTTGCCCACTATGCATCGTCAGACTGGATGCCGCCTTACCACCAAAATGGTGCGCATCGAATATCGGAAATGGAGACCGGCCAGAGAGCACGACCTTGGTGTGCTCGCGTTTCGGATGAGATGCATTGGGGCTCTCCGGAAGACAACGTGCAGGAGCCACTGGCGATCTCGCAGCGGGCCCTGGTGATTGATCCGGATCCCCAGTCTCAGGGCATCGGACGGGAAGCCGCTTTCGCGCCATCATCCCGCGTGGATGTCAGAGTTGCTGTCTTACCCATATCCGATCCTTCTGCTTTTCTCTCCGAGACTCAACTGAGGATGCCCAGCTTCGGTTAGCGCAAGCAAGTAATTTTCCATGCTGTCATCACCACAGGCTGTCGCGAAAGATTTCAACTCTCTCAGCTGCCGTCGCAACACATGCTCATCTCTGCGAATCCTGTCAGCGGCCAGTCGAAGACGTGTCATGCGACTGCCGCTATGCCTCCTAAACCCAAACGGCTCAAAGCCCCACCACACCAGTTCAAACTTCAAGCCCGGCGGTCTGCCCCATTCGTCGGCGGCTGCGACGCCATCATGTCCCACCAAACCTGACAATTGGGACGCCGGTGCTTGTTCGGCAAGGCAAGGCAAGCCCCTCTTTGGCCTGGCAGGATGTCACAAGCTTCGCTCGACGAACGAGTACAAGTACAAGAGACGAGACCACCCACTTTACCCGGACTACACCGCCGGTTCTTCAGCTGTACGCTTCAAATCTCAAACAGTTGCATAGCGTCAAGACTGAGAATTAATTCTCTCCTCACCCGGCTTCCCGTCGTACCGCAGCGCAACCCCGAAGCGATCACCTCATGTGGCCAAGACGGCTGCTGCATGGGAAACAGGGTTTGACGACATGGGGTCGCAAGGTACCGCTGCCGCACTGAACCGAGCTCCACTCTCCCCAGTCGACGCACCTCCAAGCCTTGACACGAGCTTCCAGGTTGAGGTGGCCGCTGAGGTGACCATGGTTGGCAGCGGCGGCACTGGTCCTGGTATTAGTAGCCCCGTCTCGCCCAACCGTGACCTCCCAGGCGTCATCAGCCGTTTTCTGCAGTGGACAGCAAGCACGGCGAAAACCAGCAAACAGTCCCAACCGAGGAGTACACACAAGAGCATCGCTGCGCTCAAGGAACAACAGTTACTAAAAGAACACGAAACAACGTTGGACCCGAAAGTGTCTTGCAACCCACAAACACGTCGGCAGCCTAGAAGCACAGCGCCTGATGCAGGCGACATGACACAACCTCAGCTGCAACCGGTTTGTGCAAATCCAACAGCGCCATCCGCAAGCCTCAAAATGCCAAGCGCAGCCCCGCAGCCACAGCTCAGAAAGAGAACTAGCATCCGCGAACGCCTGAAAGCCTGGCAAAAACCGCCTCAGCCGTTGGAGCTGGTCGCCGAGGAATCGAAGCCGCGCTTCGTCTACGAGCCCAAACATGCCGCCGCCGATTTTTCCCGGTTGGCGGTTTCACCGTTGAGTCACCCGGTGCAGCGTCTCCCTTCCCCGACGCACGGTCTGGCGGAAGACGACCCGCGAACCTTGGCACCCCGCGCCAGCCAGAGCCGGTCAAGACATGGAGACAATGACCGCGTTGGGTCACCACGAGATGAGCAATCAGAAAAGTGGCATACCGGATCCGCAGCAGACCGCCACTCCTACACCTTGGTAGAGGAGCCATCCCAAGTCTCTAACGCCCCCATGCAATTCCCAGTCAACGGTCGGCCTGATGCATGGTGCCCGAATGTGCAGTCAGCTGCTCCAGGGAAAGAGAAATCGACGCCAGCCGTTGGGCGACCCCTTTCCGACTATGAGCTGTTCATTGCACGCGCCGAAGCGGAGGAGAGGGCACGACGCGAGCAGGTGCTGCGCAGCATCTCGCAGCGGTCAGCCGCCGCCTACTCGGCGAACCGCGTCAAGCCGGATCCGCACCGGCAATTTGTGGCCGTGGCATCGTCGTCTTCGGCCGAGCGGAGCCATCGCAGGCCGCAACGGCACAACGGCAACAGCAGTCGCTATGTCCTCACCAACGGGAGCGGGCGCGGGCGCGAGCAGAAACCGAAACCACCGTCGCAGCAGACGGAGCAGCAGCATCAGCAGCGCCGTGACGGACACAACATGAAGGGACATGCGCGACAGTTGAGCTGGGCGCCGAGTTATGCCACGAGTGGCAGCGCGGCGGCAGAGGAGTTGGTGGAGAGAATGAAGTCGCCTGCTCTACCGTGGCAACAATCAGAGCCACAACCACGTCGGCCGCCCGAGCCCGCGGCGGGGCGACACCCGGCTGTGTGCGGCCTCGTCGACGAGGATCTGAACCGCGCGCGTGAGTACCAGCCACAGCCGCCCCGCACATTGCGCAGGCAGGCGAGCTTGACGCAGCGGATTGCTCAGTATATCCGACCGCCGAAGACCAGTGCGGTGCGGCCTGTTGAGACGCTCGTGGAGTGATGCCTGGGCGGTCTGGGAGGTGCTGGTGTGTTTTATGGACGGTAACGGGTAATGACACTTATGATGAAAGATTTTAGAGGCAGTTTTGGACATGGTGCAAGTACCAGGTATTCCTAATAAGGAGGTGGGATGTTGACGAAGACGGAGATGGGCAACGTTACCTCCTTGACGGTAGCACAGCTGGCTGTTGGAGCATCGGATAGGGGCGAGCAACTGGCCCGGGTGGCGCCACGTCGAACATACAACCTGCATATCATAGACAAACTTGAATCCTTGCTCTTCTCAAGAGACTTGAGCCATTCATTGTATTGCACACTATCTTGGGTTGACAGTAACCCTAACCCCTACGAACGTGGACCACCCGACTCACCTCCGATCGCCCCCTACACACAACTTCTGCTGCACGAGTGTTCAAAGCTCTTCCACCATGGCACCTACGGCAAGGCCGCCGAGGGTGGTCTCGAGACCGACGGCGTCAAGGCCCACGAGGACGGCGTCAAGGAGACGCTCTCCTCGAGAGTGCAGTGGCAGGGCAGCGCAGGCGACATCGGGCCACTGGCAACAGCACCTGTACTACGTGATCCCAGGTTCGGCAGAGGAACATGGGTGATGAGGTCAACAGTTTCATCAGAAGAGAAATAAGTTAAGGGGTTGGTACAGTGCAGTCATTCGTCAAATGGTTGGCTTTGGGGTAGACAATGAAGCGCTCACGATAGTTATGTGATAATAAGAATAAATGAAGGTTGGCCACCATCGCGAAGGTGAGGATCAATGCGCCGGCTCGACATTGTTCCGTAACGCCTCCGTCCGAGATTCCTTCCGTGTTGTCTCATCTTGGTTATCGCCGGCGTTTCTCAGCCGCGTCTAAAGTCCGAGTTCACTGACTTGAGTTCAACGGGGCGACTGTCATCTGCGACTGGAAAGGTTTTTCTCCATCCAAGTGGCTGTTTCATCAGTCGTGTTTGCGTGTCACAAGACATTGAAGACAGTATCGGCTGCATCACGCACAATGGCGCAGTCGTCGCATTTGTTTAACGCGCTGCCAATCGAGCTCCTTGTATTTGTCATCGACAATCTTGACCGCGTCGAGGACATTGCAGCACTCGCGTTGATGAACCGACGGCTGTACGGCACCGCGAACCCTTACCTCTACCGGCGCGCAGCTCAATGCAACGATGGCCGCCCGCTGGCCTGGGCTGCCAACCGCGGCCTGGTGTCAACGCTAAGGATGGCGCTTGCAGCTGGTCTTGACCCCAACTATGAGTTTATCGAGCATCTGTCGGCAGAGGAATGGGAAAAAGTAACCGCAGCCGCCCGGGCCGATGCCGCGGCCGGCCGACCCAAGCAGCTGTGGGCGATGTGGGACTACAACAACCGGCCAAGACCCGAGACCGACTGGTCCCGCGAACCGGCCGGCGACTCGAGCACGCCGGCGGCCACCTCAACCATCGCCCCGTCGCCCCGTGCTCCTAGTGCATCGGACCAAGATTCGGTTGTGTCATCCGAGGAGGATCTGTCCCAGCGCAGCGATGCGACGCCGGCCACCGAGCCCTCTCCCACGCCGACCCCACACACCTTACGGCGCCGCTACCATGCTATCCACCTGGCCGCGCGAGGCGGCCATAACGACATCATTGACATGATCCTCCGTCACGGCGCGCGCATTGACATCTCATCCGAAAGCTTCTGCGCCTGCCTGCAGCTCAAGGGCCTCCTCAACGCCTTGGAACACCCGGACCCGGAGCCTGACCAGCCCATGTGGACACCTCTGCACGTCGCCATCTGCCATTCGCAGACCGAAACCGCCAAGCTCCTCCTCTCGCACGACGCCTCCCCATGGATGGAATCGCTCCGAACCAAGGCCGACTATGACGCCCACAGCCTCACCTCAGGTCACGGCTCAACCGCGCTGCACCACGCAGCCGGCATGGGCCTGACCGACCTTGTCCGGCACATCGTCGACAACGACATCTGGCCCCCCGTCAACGTTCCTGACGAGTGCAGTCTCACCCCTTTTTACCACGCCTACGCCAGCCGCCGTTGGGACTCGACGGTGCCCCTCCTCCTCTCCCTAGGCGCCAACATCAATTGCCAGACCAAAATGTACATCCCCTACACCACCATCACCACGCTCGGCGAAGCGTGCCGGCTGGGCGACTTTGACGCGGCCGACCGGCTGATCGAGCTGGGCGCGGACGTAACCAAAGGCTTCGTGGCGCCGGGCAAGACGGGGTGCCTGACGCCGCTGCACATGTGCTGCATGCGGTCGGCGCAGCCGGCCGGCGAGCCCGTTGAAAAAGGCGACGACGACGATGCGAGGGGGAAGGCGCGCATGAGGACCATCGAGAAGCTCATTGCGCGGGGTGCGTCGCTCGACGCGAGAGATTGCTTTGGGAGTACCCCGCTCATGGCCGCGGTGCAGTCGTGTAATATATTTGCCCTCGAGGCGCTGAGCATTGCTGGTGTGGAGGCGGATGGGGATGGTGCTGGTGGTCATGTTGCCAAGAAAGACGATGGCCTGAAACCTCGGGAAGATCAGAAGGTTGAGGAGCGAGAGGCCGCAGTCTCGGCGTCTTAAATTGGGCCGAACTGGGTATGTGGTCGCTGTGTAAAGTTTGGCCGTCTAAAGTACTAGTCCGGAATATCACACACAGCGGCCACAGGCCGATGTAAACACCGAACGTCATGTATGCGCGCCGCTCTTTGTTCTTAGTTCACACTGCTCAAGTCCGATGATCAGTCCACCAAACCCCCATTAGCGTCGTTGAGATGGGTCTGTAAGCACCCGCAATGCACCGAGATGGCCGTCCGCAAAGCTGATGCTGGCAATGAACCCAAGTTCTCGCTCACTTTCCATGAAAGGGTATCGATTTTCTTATACAGCCTCAGAGCCTCAGCACATCTACCATCTCCGTCCCCTACCTCTCCCTCCTCTCCCACCACCACCGCCACCCATCTGCTGCTCATACCCATACCCTTGGCCCTGCCCGCCCCCAAATCCACCGCCAAAGCTCGGCCCCTGCCCGCCCTGGCCCGGCCCACCCCCTCCGGCCCCGGCACCACCAAACATGCCTGCCATAGCGCTCATATCCATCTGCGACGGATCCATCCCAGCCCCCATCATCGACTGCATCATAGCGTGCATCTCAGGCGTCATCCCTTCCATCCCCGGCATCCCCTGCAAGACCTGGGGCATACCGCCAGCACCAGCACTGCCAACCCCAGCCCCAGCCCCAGCACCCCCACCAACGGCAGGGTTCGCCGCCGCCGCCGCCGCGACGGGCGGCATCCCCGCCATCCCGCCCATCATCATGAAGTTGGTCATGTCCTCCATCATCTTCTTGTTGCGCTCGGCGATCGCCTCGGGGTTGTACTCGGCGCGGAGCGCTTCCTGCTTCTGCGCGTACAAAGCCCAGGTGAACTCGTCAAAGCCGTAGTTGAAATAATCCGATAGATCGGTCCCCGGCTTGCGCCAAGGCTTGTCGTTTTCGGGGGGCAGGTCCTCGTCTATGTTGACTTGGGTTAGGGGTTTGTTGGAGAATTTGTGGATCGGTATGGCGTTGACGTCGATCTTGGAGGTGGAGACGGCTGGGTGGGTGTCGGCTTGGATTGAGGAGGAGGTAGGTTTGGGGGCCTGGGAGGGTTTGCTGGTGGTAGTGGGTGATGTGTCGGAGGGGGCGGTGCGTTGAGGGATGTTTTTGATTTCGCTGTAGCGTGATTGACTAGAACGAACGAGGGGTTAGAGGGGTATTCACTTCGGGTGATGGCAGGGTAGCTCACGGTGGAGGGGCTGGCTTGGAGCCGTCTTTGCGCTCCGTGATGATGTCGATGTCCTGGGGTTGTCAGTCATTGAGGGCGTCAGAGAGCAGGTCAGTCTTGAAGACGCATACGGAATCTTCGTCTTCGTCCATCGCGCCGCCCTCATCCTCCTCCTCTCCTTCTTCAAGCTCCTCGTTTGCATCCTTCTTTGTTGTGTCTGGTGGTGCTTCGGCGGGAGCTTGCTCTGCCGGGGCCTGGGGTTCCTCAGGAGCGTAAAAGTCGTCTTCGTCGTCGATATCCATTGTGCAGATAGGATGAGGGACGCGACCGGTTCGAATGGATTGTGGTGGACAAGGTTGGCAGATGACGCGGTTCTAGGCCGGCAATTGAAGTTGAAGGTTGAAAGCAGCTCGAGTCGAGTTGGCTCAGAATCCACGCTTTCGGCAGGCGGTCAGACTGCAGTGGACCCTTGCAAGCGCGACCTGGGCTGAGCTTCTGCGAGCTGTTTTTGGTGGGGCCGCCATCGCCCATTTCCCGTCGCAACCATACAAAACACAACGGCAACAGCTTGGAAATCGGCAGCAGCGACAAACGCTCTCCACAGCTGCATTTCATTCCAGCTGTTTGCTTTCCCTATCCCTTACTGCATGAGGAAGCCGCCATGTCACTCGCACGGTCAGCTAGCGGCCCGGCCGGCCTGAGCATTAACACGGGTAGCGCCAATCTTTTGTGAGTTTGCTTTGCATCAACAACTCCGTCTATCGAGTTTCGAGCGAGACGCGCAGACGAGCTGACTGCCTCGCACAGTGGAAGCAGTACAAGCCAGCCGCCAGCGGGAGGTGGACTCTTTGGAACGGCGACTTCACAGCCCGCGCAGACAGGTTCTTTGTTCGGCACGACAGCCTCGCAGGCCCAGCAGACCGGAGGCATTTTCGGCTCAGCCACGACCCAGACACCAACTTCGCAGCCTCAGCAAACCGGCGGCCTTTTCGGCCAGACTACGACATCTACACAACCCCAGCAGACTGGAGGCTTGCTTGGGACAGCGACCCAGCAACAGCAGCCGCAGCAGACAACAGGTGGGCTCTTCGGCGGCTCGACGACCCAGCAGCCGGCTCAGACAGGCGGTCTTTTCGGCGGACAGACGCAGCAGGCGCAAACGGGCGGCTTGTTCGGCGGCGCCACCGCACAGCAGCAGCAGCAACAGCAACAGTCCCAGGCGACGGGAGGACTATTTGGCGGCTCTTCAAGCGGCATGTTCGCTACGAAACCAGCCGGCACGGCGACCACAGGGGGCGGGCTATTGTAGGCAATCTTCACGTTCTTACTACGAACAGTTTGGACTAACCACAGCCGCAGCGGCCTCAGCCAGCCCATGACCCAACAGCAACAAACCCCCGCCGCCGGCCTGACGCTAGGTCAATCGGCGACAACCGGCCAACAACAACAAGTCGTGCCCGGCGTGCGCATCGACCTGAGCAACATCAAATCCACAACCCGCTTCAACGACCTGCAAGAGTCCCTCCAAAAGGAAATCGCCATGATCGACGAGGCCATCCAGCGATGCATCAAAGACAAGGACGCGGTCGACGCCTTCCTCCCTTCGCACGGCGACCAGCTGGCCGCCATCCCGACCGATGTGAGCTTCGTCGGCCGCAAGTCCGAGGGCGCGCACAATGCCCTGTCCAGCGACATCGTCGCCATCGACCAGCTACGCGAGCTGGTCAAGCAGGACGCCGACCACGCGCGCCTGTCGTTTAAGGCCATCGACAACCTCAAGCTGCCGACGCAGTATCACCAGGCCGGTCTGTGGTCGAATCGGGGGGTGGGAGTGCAGCAGGTAGGTGGTGGTGGCGCGGCTGTGGGCGGCGGAGGAGGAGCGGGCGGCGCCGCGGATGCGCAGAGCAACACGGATCTGATCAGCTTCTTCTCGCGGACAGCGGACGAGATGGACCAGATGATGAAGAAATTTGAGAAGAACCTAGGCGAGATTGAGGTGCATCTGCACGGCGTGCAGGGGAATATGTTGGAGCAGATGCAGCGGGTTGCTGCGCAGTCCAAGAGCGCAACCCAAGGTGGGGTGGATGAGCGCGTCATTGAGTTGGCGGCTGTACTGAGGGACTTTGAGGAGAGTATCCTCAAGGTTGCTGGGGTTGTGGGCGGTGTCAAGGAGGGCGTTACGGAGCTGCAGCTGAAGGACTTTATGGGTCACGGCAGCTGAGCGGTTGAGCATCAGGAGTGAGAGATAATGCGGCGAGGACTTGTACCATACTGTGGGCGTCGGGAGAAGAGTTGAGGGTATTGGAATACCCACACATGACATGTATTCGACTCAATTGCATGCCATAAGCAACAGGCCAACTGTGAAAATGGTATCTCTTCGCCATTGCCTTGGCGCTCCGACCAGTCTATGCCACTTTTCAATGCGCCAGGAAATGCAAAGTAAAAGTTTCCCCAAACAATCAGAAATAATCCCCCCCATCATCCCCTCCCTCGTCGTAGTCCTCATCATCCTGGTTCCCGTCAAAATAGGCCTCCGCATTGTAGTCGTCGCCAGACTCGTCCTCGTACTGATCATCCTCCTCAGCGTTCCCGTCCTCGTCATCCTCGCCATTGCCCTTGACCCAATCGTCATCGTCCTCCCCAGACAAGATGGCCTCCTCATCACCGTTCTGTTTCTCAATCGTGTCGATAAACTGCAGCGCCTTATCCATGCTAGCCGCCCCAGCCCCTGCACCCACACCCAGCTGCTGTGCGTCGGGAAGGAACAGCTCCTCTGCAGTCTTGTATGACGTGATGTTCGACAGGCCCAACGTCTTGGGGCCGACGCGTCGCCGCTTGGCCACCGGCCCGTTCCCGCTCGAATGCTCGTCGTCGCCGTCTAGCGTGGCGTGTAATTCGGGCGGGAAGAAATCTTTTGCGAAGGGCCGGGAGCCCAGGTCAGGTAGTGTCCGGGGCACTTTCTTGAACCGGTGCGAGTAGGTCGGCACGGCGGTGAAGGGGTCGACGGTCGCCTTGCTCATCTGGCCGTAGCGCTTGTTGAGCTGGTCCTGGCCGTAGGTGCGCGCTGTCGTGCCGGAGGACTGGGTCCAGTTGCGCGCTTGCGTGTAGAGGGGGCTGTCTTGGCACTGTTCGCGGAAGAGGAGGAAGTAGGAAACTTGTTTTTCTTCTTTTCTGGAGAGGAGAGGCGCTTTGGGGACGTCGTAGGGCTGGATAGGAGGAAGAAGTCAGCTAGGGAGGGAATATCCGCGGGTAGGCTGCGGTTGGACTCACTGGAAAGAGTTCGGATGGCTTGCCGTCTAGCACAATGTCCCCGTCCATGGCCCAGGGCACACTGTTCTGGGCGACGGCCCTTCTGCCGTTGGTCAGCGGGCCACGCCCACCACGGCCTCCTCGCCCGCCTCGCCCGCCTCGTCCAGACATTTCGATATTTTGTGTGTGGTGACTATGGCCAACGTCACCTCATTAGCTCAGAAAAGCCTTCCGGTGCGCAAGCAAGGCGCTGTTTGTTTGCGACGCGTACGGAAGATGGAAGCTGCAAAGATGATGCGAGTAGAGCTTCTGCGGAGGTCTGGGGCAATGATGACTGCGCCAGATGCGACCAGATTTTAGCGGGGTAGCCACCGTCATGCGGAACATGACCCACTTGGACCCTTGTTTGCTCGTCTCGGCTCCAGTTCACCCCCACCCATCCAACCTCATCTGCTTCACAGCTCACAGTCTGCCTTACAATTTCACTGGCTGTCTTGAAGCACAAGCTGTGACGACTGCTTTTGCTGCCTTGCATCAGCTTGACTTGAGTCTCCGCTGACTTACCCCATATATTAACAGAGTGCACTCTTCCAACGATTTTTCCACCACGAATATCAGAGACAGACACCAAACATGGAAACGACGCCAATTACTGGGCTCGACGAGCTCGACAGGCACCTTGACGATCTCATCCAGGATCCCTGTTTGGAGGTAAACCCAAAGCTGTTTGACGATGTCGAACTCCAGCTTACAGGTCATACCATAATACCATTCATAGGTCGCCCGCCGGAAGCTAATACACTTACAGAAAGCAACATCCCTCCGCTAATCCTCCGGTTCCTCTCCCGACTTACAGTACTCCTCAAGCAGTACACCCAAGACCCAGCCGTCATTGTCAGCCTGACCATCAAGCTTCTGGGACCCGTTTCGCTCGTCGAGATTATGCAAATGGCCGCACCGGAAGAGCTCATCCAAGCCCTTGACTCCCCGGCGCCGGCGGCAAATTTGCTCGCCATGACCATCCTCCACAAAGCGGCTGCCAGCCCACAGGAAGTCACCATACTCTCCAACATCCCCAACCTCGTTGCAGCTTTTATCACCCGCTGGCTAGCCGCGCCGCAAGTTGAAGTCGGCCAGAAGGGCGGCAAAGTTCTTGGCGACCTCCTCGACATCGACTGCGAACTGCCGCCACCACCACCAACCACCCGCCCAGTTGACGTGACGCACACCGAGCTGGTATTACGCAAAACCCCGGGGCAGGGCAGGCTCTGGAACCTCGTCTTCCAGGACCCAACCGTGTACACTCTCCTCCTGGACCTGATCTCGGGCCGGCACCCGGACACGGCCTGCAACCCGCACCAACTCTCCCTCGCCCAGGGCCGCGTCCTGCGCATCCTGCCACGCCTGGCATTCATCGACTTCCACGCCGTTACCCACTCCGACATCACCCCGCCCGCACCAGTGCACCTTACAAACGGAACCAGCAACGGCGAACCGCAATTGCTCAACGGGGGCGACCACCAACCCCCCAATTCAAACCCACCTCGGCCGGGCGAAGGTTTCCTGCAATACGCGGCCCTGCGCATGGTGCGCAAGTCGGACGTGCTCATGCACCTCAGCCTGGTCGACTTCTTCGAGGCGCTGGTCAGCCTGATGCGCGTCACCGAGCAGTCTCCCCTTAAAGTGGAGACGCTGCGGGCGGTGCTCGGCGAGGCGACGGCCGGGGACGAGGTGCTGCGTGAGGCGCTGCTGAGCCTGCCGGACCGGACTGTCGAGGAGGAGGCGGAGGACTTAAGGAGCTGGTTGGTGGATGTTATGCCGGGGGAGGAGGTACGGCTAGCGATGCGCTGAGGGCGTACATGAGCAACGGGTCGGATTCTTGTGGGTGTGGTTGAATGATTGGAAGGGCGAAATTGCGGATGGGGAGGCCTGGGTGCTTGCTTTTGCTCCGGATGGCTCTACACGCATAGCCCTAACCCTGTCACGTCCTCTACCCGGCGTGCAGAGTGAAAATCCCAACGTTGGATTGCAAGTCGGGAAAAGCTTTACACGAGGCGATAGATGATCGGAATCCATGGTCACACTGGTGGGACGGAACTAGTACCGACTTGGGAACTTGGCCTCGTGCTCCAACTTTCCAAGTTCGTACCTTGCGGCGGTCAGATGCGTGATTCCAATCGCTGCGCCACGAGGTCGCGTTCTGGGTTTACAGAGGCCAGCTACAGCGGCCAATCCAAGCCAATCAGAGGTTCCAATGCCTGCTCAAAAAGGCAGTTCCCGCATTGAACCCCTCACCGCCGACAAGTTTTATGGAGGGGCCACCCTGGCGAGACACCAAGGTAGCAGGCCGAGGGGAAAAGATCAAATTGCCTTAAGTACCGCGGCCAACCGCACCGAGACTCGGCGGATGTCATCGCACATCAGTGTCGTCGACTCGTCGGAACACTTTCTGGACAGCCGTCTCCAGGAAAAGGTCTCCCCTGCCAATCCATCTACAACCCAGCCTAATGTAGCACATGTCGTCTTCTTCTCTACTTTGTCACCTTTCTTATTTCCCTCTCTTCAGCGACTATTAACGGCCAACCGATTGAGAGCGCGCGAAGCTCGACCCTGTACGGAGTACGGATACCCCGGGTCCCAGCACGCCCTGCTGAGTACAGCAATACGCTCTCCCAAGCAATTCAGCAGCTGAATTGCTTAACAAAATTCGTAACCAAAGAAGACCATGGATGAAAGTTCTAGGCTCGACATGCCAGGCAATGGACTGAAGGATGGCGGCGGGAATCTTTCGGAGCGCAGCAACATCGACGAAGAGTCGCTCAAGGGTCAGGACGTGCTGTCCCTGCATGACCTGGACCCGGCTCTCAATCGAAAGATGCACTTGGTGAACAACGTCAGTTCAAATCCTTAGGGTTATGTGGAAGACTATCTGTTGACTCTGGTCTAGGCTATTGACGAGCTCGGTTGGACTCCCTATCACACCAAGCTGTTCTTCCTCAACGGCTTTGGGTACGCCGTTGACTCCCTCATCCTTCTGCTGCAGTCCGTCATCGCCGGCCCCGCCTTCCGCGAGTTCGGTCAGATCGGCTATGACAAGGCCTTGACCATTGCAGTGTACACGGGCATGCTCACGGGCGCCTTGTTCTGGGGTCTCGGAGCCGACATCATCGGCCGCCGCTACGCCTTCAACATCTCGCTGTTCATCTGCTCCATCTCGGGCATCCTCGCTGGCGCCATGCCGAACTGGGCTTCACTGGGAACCTTTATCGCACTGATCGGCTTTGGCGGGGGCGGGAACCTGGTTCTGGACACGACTGTCTTCCTCGAGTTCGTTCCCGGCGACAAGCAGTGGATGGTGACGTTGATGGCTGCGTGGTGGGGGTTTGGCCAGGCCATCACCGGCTTCATCGCCTGGGGGTTTTTGGTGCCTGAAGAATGGAACTGTCCGTCAGTCGACGGCTGCACCAGGGAGAACAACATGGGCTGGAGGTACGTCATGTTCACGAGTGGCGCACTCGTCTTCGTCATGTCCATCCTCCGCTTGACAGTCATCCGCCTCCAAGAGACGCCAAAATACCTCCTCGGCATGGGCGACGACGACAAGGTGGTCGAGACCTTCAAGCTGCTAGCTACCAAGTACAACCGTCCATGCACCCTGACCGTTGAAAAGCTCCAGGAATGCGGCGTCGTGACAACAGCCCACAGCCAGAACCGCTTCTCGCTCGCCGAGACGCTCATCCACTTGCGCGGACTCTTCTCTACTCCCAAAATCGCCATCTCCACGCTCATGATCTGGATCTCCTGGGCTATGGTCGGGCTCGCCTACCCGCTCTTCTACGTCTTCCTGCCGACCTACCTGGCCTCGCGGGGCGCCAACCTCGACGTGTCGACCTTCGACTCGTGGCGCAACTACGCGCTGACCAACATCAGCGCCATCTTCGGCCCCGTGCTCGCCGGCTGGATGTGCAACGTGCCGCTGCTCGGCCGGCGCTACACGATGCTGATCGGCGCGCTCATGACGGCCGTCTTCTTCTTCGCCTACACCACGGTGCGCACCGCCGCGCAAAACGTCGGCTTCTCGTGTGCCATCGGCTTTAGCCTCAACGTCTACTACGGCACGCTGTACGCCTACACGCCCGAGGTTCTCCCCAGCGCGCACCGCGCCACGGGCAACGGCGTGGCCGTCGCGTGCAATCGCATTATGGGCATCTTATCGGCCGTCATTGCCACGGTGGCCGACACGGCGACCACAGCCCCCATCTACATCTGTGGCGCGCTCTTGGTCGCCATGGGGCTGGTGGCGGCTGCCTTTCCGTTTGAGCCATATGGGAGGAGGAGTTCTTAGTACCTAAAGGGAAGGCTGCCGTAGTGATGAAGGGAGGTTGAAGAAGTTGTTGTAGAGTGGGGAATGGGATAGAAAAGGGTCAGATTCAACTCTGTCTGGCGTTGGGGATCTCGCCATTTGAGATCGTGACGGATGATACCCAGGTGCCTGGAGGTTATCTGTGAGGTTTCGAGTTGGATATGGCATGTTCGAGGCATCCCCTTTTAGCTATCTGCTTTGGGACGTATAAGTTGAGCTCGAACTGCAAATATCCGATGCCAATTTCATGCTGTCGCCCCAGGGACGGGGTCTTGAGCAAGACCTGACGTCCAGAATACTGAAGGCAAAGAAAACACATAAAAACACATGGTCGGCTCACGGCCATGGGCCTCAACCGCCGACAACCGCCGAAGTCTATAACAATTCGAATGTCGATGATGCGAGAATTGCACCAAAGTTTACCCCCTCTTTCACTTTCCAAGCCCCTAGCTCGCTCCTCAACGTCACTCACCCCCTGCCCAAAACCTGCCTCGACGGATCATCGCTCAAACTATCCATACTCGGCGACGGACGGACGGACGGCACAGAGAGCGCACTACTACCCCCCCTCCCGGTTTCTTTCTCCGCCGCGCCATTTCCCTGCCCAGCCGCAGCACCACCACCGGCACCCATGCCCTCAATTCCCAACGCCACCTCCCCAACCCTCCTCAACACAAGCAACAGTGCCGCGCGAAGCTCCTGCCCCAGATCTTTGCCCAACAACTCGACAACAAGCGGATAAAAGCTCTCGACATGTGCGGCAAATGCCTCGCGTGGAAAGGCAGCATACCCCTCAAGCACATCCACCACAACGGGCCGCCAGGCGACCACATTCCGATGCTGGCTCTCCTCGTCGAGCACACAATACCCCCGTATAATATCTTGACACAGCGGCACCAGCGCCGCCTCCACATCCTTCTTACTCCCCACCCTCTCCGCGGCCGTATCGCCAAACATGCGAAACAAAATGCTCACGTACGTCGCCGCACTGCCGGATTCCTGCTTCAATAGATTGGGCGGCTGCTTCATGAACCCCTCGCGCCAGAGGCGCATGCGAAGGTCCTTGTCGGCGTTGAAGCGCCGCGCGAAGAGGAAGGATTTCTTGAGGAGCGCCATCAGCCGGAGGAGTTCCGGAGAGGGGATCTGCGCGTAGACGGCGTCGTTGCTGAAGAGCTCGTTGACTGTCTCGATCATGAGGAGTTGTAAAACGCAGCGCGAGATGATGCGGTTGAAAAAGCGCCGGCGGGCGGCCGTCACGACGACAGGTTGTTGCTGGAGCGGGTTGACGGGTTTGAACTCTTCGAGCTGTTGTTGTGGTTGTGGTTGTTGCCCTGGGGTTTGCAATTGCGGGGTTGCTGCCATTGCGGCTGAGCTGGCTGCTGGTGGTGGTGCCGTGTTGTTGTTGTCGGCCTCGCCGTTGGTCGACTCGGCGCCTGGTAGGTGGCCGTTTGTTTCTGTGCCGTTGATCTTGAGGGATTTCTCGTCAACTGGCGGGGTCTCGGTGGTTGGGCTGAGCGCACCACCAAGCTCCAGGCCGCTCGGCGGAGGGGAAAGTGAGGCTGTCGAGTTGATGGTGGTCGCTGAGAAGAGCTGGTATGCCGTGGTTCTTTCAAATAGCTCGACGAAGGCGCCGACAATCTTGGCCCAGTGTTCAGGCGTAAACTTGGTCACATTCCGGAGTATGAGCTGCTGCAGGCAGTTGCTCCCTATCCGCGCAATGGTGTCGTTCTCCTGGCAGATGCAGAGCTCGAGAAGCTGAAGAAACTGGTCCAGCATATACTCGAGAGCATCAAAGTAGTGCGTGAAAAGTGTAATCATGCTGCGGAGCGCCTGGATCATGGTGGTGGACAACCACACCGAGAGCTCCTCGTGGTTGAGGGCATTGGTCATCTCTGGCCGCGACCGCAGGACCATGAAGATGGGATAGAGCTGCTGCCTCCAGAGAATATCCCAGAACTCCCGGGGGAAACCGCCGCCGTGCCGCAGCAGAGTCTCAAAGAAGTAGTTGAGGGCGTTCGACCGTACCTCGAGATCTTCGCCAGTCATGAGCACGTCGTGGAACGCGAAGAGCACCGGAAACCAGAATCCTTCCTCGACGGAGGTGCGCGTCTGTTGGGAAGGTGACTTGGGATTCGGCTCGGACTGACTCGCGTTTTCAGCTGACCTTTGCGACAGAGGACACTCGGGCGTTTTGAGCATCGTCGGGATGATCGACTTCAGCGTCTCCATGGCCTGAAGGCTCTTCTTTTGGAACCTCATGTTCTTGGAGAACTCGGTCAAACAAACAATGAGATCAGTGAATGCACCCTGCGAGATGACAACGCCGAACCTGGTCTTGTAAACTTGGGTGACGTTCTCATACGCCAGGTTGACGATACTCTCGTGCGGCTCCCTCGCCGCAACTGTGAAGACCCCAAACATGGTTCGCCAACCAGACCGGATATTCTCCCCTCTGGCCTGGATCATCTGGATGAGGCAGCGGAGGATCATGTCCTTGACCGTGACGTTGTTCGCGTTGGACATGACATGCTCGAAGGGTTTGAGAAAGTCCTTCTGGAACTTGAAACCCGCCAGCTCCTCGATCTCCATGAAGCGCATCGAAAGCTGACGGAGCGAGTCGAGCGCGAAGAAGACAATGGCAGTGTTGGCGTGGCAGCCTACCCTGTTGAAGTGCTCACCGAGGACGTCCCAGATATGGCTCCATTCGAACCGCACACGCGTCATGTTGTAGTAGCTGATCTCGACAATCTTTTGGAGGCTGTATGTTCGAGGAGAGTCGTTCGACCCAGACACCCTGATTTCGTCCCAGCTGACTTCACACAAGGCCCGGGCGAAGTGAATAATTGCGTCCCTCGACAGGTTGGCGGTGTTTGTGAATATCCTGTCGACGCTCTTTATGACCTCGTCGGACCTGCTCTCGAGCGCAATCTCTAGCGACACGCCCTGAGGCCCGGTGTGGGCCCGCGGCCTGGTTCTCCTTGCCGAGGACGTTGACTTGCGGGAGTCAACGGTTTCTGTCCGTTGCGGTGGTGGCACGAACCTGGCCTTCGAAACGTCGGGGACGGCACTCTCATCCACGCCCCCTGATATCAGCTGTAAGCGATCCAGCTGGCTGATGCACAAGAGCACGTCCTTCCATGACTCCTTCAGGTGGTTGCCCTCGGTCTGCGCGAGGTCCAGGAGAACCTTCAGGGCTTCGACATTCTTGGCCTGCATCTCTCGGGGGTTGTTGAGGTTAGCGGTGTTCTTGAGAACCGAAATGAAGGCTTCCCGAGGGGTGGCAAGCTCGAATAGACACGCAATCTTGGTGGCCAGCTTCATGCCCTCCAGGCACAACTTGTTGACGTCCAGATTTTGAGTCTTCTGGAGGAGACTGGAAAGGGCCGAGAAAAAGGACATCCACGTGGCGTCAAACATGGGCCCAACGTGCTTGAAGGAGGTAGCCGAGATGAACTTGGAACCAGCATTTGTCGCCTTCTTCCGTTGGCTGCGGTACAGGTCACGGAACAGCTGTTCTGATCGCAACGAGATCTCCTCCGACTGCTGCACGTATGCTTCTCGTTGCAAGTCGCGCCCGACGTTGGAGAAAGCTTGCCCAAGCCCAGCTGCAAGTCCAGTTGCCTGCGGAAGAATCCCGGCGGCCGCAGCTGCTTCACGTTCGCTCTTGAGAACAATCTCATTCTTCTGGATGTCCTCGTAGATGGCGATGAGGTATTCGTCCGGAAGGTCGGCGTTGTCGTTGATGCCGCGGTTGTTCTTGATGAAGTCTTCCTTGGACATCCGCTTCACCACTTTGCTGCTGTGCAGGTCCGTGTTGAGCATGATGACAGAATATGCCAGCACATATGGCGTGTCGGCATTGGCGAAGGCATTGGGATTTCCTGTCACGTAGCGGTGAGCAAATTTAAGCATGAAACGATCGATCTTCTGGGCTTCCCCCGGCAGACGGAAGTGCTGGAGGAATTCGCGGAGCGCATCAACGAAGCGTTTCTTGCTGAAGTCCATCATGTCAACGAATGCGTGCATGATGTCGACGTTCTTTTGGTCGCCCTCGCCGAGGAACTCGCCAATCTGCGCCTTGTCCAGCCGGTCTTCGCTCAGAAGAAACCGAGCAATATCTTCCGGTGTATCACTGAGGATGAAGCCTTCCTTGATCAGAAGCTTGATTCCGTGCTTTGGCTTGAAGTTGAAAGCCCTGATTGCGTTCGTCATGGCCGTCTTCCGTGCCTTTTCCTTTTCCAGCTGGTCCGGATCGTCCTCAATCACTGGAGTTGATGGCGCAATTGGAGTCTCCATTCGAAACGCCGTTTCGCTGATTGAGGGGTCGATGGAGTATCGGAGATCGTCACTCGAAGGTCGTCTCTGCACATCACCGCCTCCCCCATTGATCTCTGGCCTACCTGGTTGCGACCAGTCGACCAGGGACCTCAAGGTCTCCACCAGCGAGTCAAGAGCCACGCGCTTCATGACATATTCCTTGGGTATCTCACTGTCTGTCTCGTGGTGTGTCGCAATGAGGGCAACTGAAAGCGGTGGTGGGAGTACGGACTTGATTTGCCATTCCCCGCCCGGCCCCGACTTTGAGTGGCTCTCCTCATACTGCTGCTCCTGGGTCGGATTGATGGGTATCGACGCTGTCGCGAATTTTGAGAGATCCTCCACGATAGTCTGGAATATGTTGTCGACGTGGCGGTCGCAGTCATAGTTGAGGTAGATCTCCACCAGGGCACGGGGGTCCTCGCATAGCCTCTTCAGTATCCCCACGAAAGTCAACTTCTGTGACAGCGGGGCATTCCTTCTGGCGAGCAGAGCAAGATAAATTTCGTTTAGAAACACCTCAATCTCGTTCTATGACTCCGGATCAGCTCAGCACCCCGCGGCACGATAAGAATGCAACCAACCTTGAACGATGCCCTCATGTACTTCAGCATCAACCAGAAAATCTCACAGCAGACATCAAAGACCCTGTCCACCGAACTGGCTCCGTTGCGGGTGATGCTCAGGCACAGGTAGTACTTGATGGCCTGCAGGAAGTTTGTAGGCTCGTTGTTCTTGGTATTTCTGATGGTACATAGCGGGGACGTGAATACGGTGATGTTGTTGTTGAGGAGCGTTTGAATGAGGTGGAGTGATACCAATTTTGAGCGCATCGCTTGGCCGCGGAGGTCGTAAAGCTGGTCCGGCGGCAAGATCTTGGTCGACAGATTGCAAAAGGAACGGAACACCAGATAGGCGTCCCGAATGTAGGCCTCGTCCTCGGCATCAAGTGATTCAGGTGTGTCCTCTTGCGAGCTCTCCTGGAGGCTTTGCTCGGATACAGAGCGCGCAGTGCTCTTCCTGGGCTTGACTTTGCTCACCATGGTAGGACCATCGCCAATATGGGAGTCATCAAAGCTCTTCCGGTGCTCCAAGTCCTTCAAGGTGAGCTTGCCGGCCGTCTCATCGACATTCTCGGCGTGCGTGGCGTCCGAGACGGCTTCGGTAGCATCCTCGCTGTCGGCCTTCGCAGATTGCGAGTCCTGGTCATCAGACCGGTCCACGGCCAGACTACTCCGGCTTGCCTTGAGCTTGTTGAGGTTTGCCCGCGCCTCCTTCATGTGCAGTCGTGTCTTGACCCTCTCGAACACGGTGCCCACCATCTGCGTGAGTGTCCCCTGGGCCACCTGTTGGTTCGCCGTGCTCCTGGACAGCAGAAAGATGTTGTAAACCTGTCGAACCGCCTTCAGCAGACCCGCGCCGTGGACAATGATTTTGTCGTTGAGCACTGCAGCCAGAAGCGACTTGACGATCTGTAGTTGGATTTCAACCAGCGTCGCCTCCCCCTGAAAGCAGTCGCAGATGGTGTCGATGGCCCGTTCAATGAGGGGCGCTTGCTCGGCGCCATCGGGGCCTGCGGACGAGGATGGGGCGGAGAAGTACGAGTATGAGATGAGCTTCCCGATGCAGTCGAGCGCGGTGGTGGCGAGTGGGATCGTGCCCGACTTCGTGGCTAGTTGCAGCGGTGCAAAAACGACTTCGGGATCGGGCAGCTGTTGGTCGTTCTCCTTGATGGCGGCGAGGGCCTTCTCGGCCAGCTCGGCCAGCTGCTTGTTGCGGCCGGCATGTGCCGCAATGATGTCCAGCGAGGACACAACGAATTTGAGGGAGCTCATGGCGCGCCGGTGTTCCTGGCGTTCCTCCGGGGACAGATGGCCATCCGCGGGAGCCGGTCAGCGCATCGAATGTCGTCGAGACAAGCGGACGATTGTGGTACACGTGGGGTGCTGCAGATCCCCGGTCGGCCCCTCTTTGTCTTTGTTTCCCAGCTCTTTTGTGCCCTACCAGCCACGAAGCGTAGAATCTAGTGCGCGACCAGATAATTGGGTTGTCTCCTCCTGGGCCGAGCCTGTCTGATCGAGGACCGCAATCAGACTTGGTGCTGCGCACGTTCACTGGGTGCCAATCCAAATTTGGAGTTTTGCGCGGACAGCTTGAAGTAGGCTGCGTCCTCGTCAGTGGTGTTTTGTCTGGCACAAATCAAATGTCACAATACTGCCGTTCGAAGAAAGGGGTCGCTCAAGATGACAGCAAACCTTCGCGGTCGCTCAATGTGGAACCTGGTCAATGAACTGACGCGGCGCCAGCTGGTCAGCACTGCGATCCCCCGAGCCAGCGTTTTGGTTTGCAATTGCGGTCCCTGGCTCGAGAAGTTGCAGGGCCCACTTTGATTCCTAGCGTTGCGTTGAGAGATACTGAGCACAGCCACATCCATTTCCCTCCAAGATATTGAGCTGGCGCGCCCACAGACCTGTGGCTGATATATGACCTGGCGACGCACTTGGAATGCAAAGGTAGCGACCACTAGCCGCCATACTCTGATTCTGATATAGAATACTGATTAATCGAAAGTCATTCAGATCTTTGTTGACGATGAGGTGCAGCTCAATTGGCATCCTCTCTCAATTCTCAATTCTCGAATTGTCTCCGTGTATTTTGTCTCTGGAGCAATGTGGCTTTTGACCCTTTGCTCACGCAGCAGCACGCCAATGCTGATTGGTGCATCAACCGTGCCATCCCGGTCCGTCCGAATTTTGGTGAACGGAAGCTAAAGCTTCCCAACGAGTTGAATCCCACGTCAAAAAAAACTGGTCCCGTCCCCCAACCTGCATCGCCATCATTGTCGTCCTCCGATCGCCGGCCTCCCGCCTTTCTTTCCATTCCTCGATTTGCCCCTCCCTGCCCTCCTCAATTGGGCTTTACACTACGGTTCGTGGGCGTATTCCGGGTGTATTCCGCTTTTTCCGTGTCCGCGCGCATCGGAACGTTTCTCTTTTCCCGCGCGTTTCCTCTTCACATAAAAAATGCTCGTCCCAGCGATCCGGAGGCAAGCCCTTCAGCATGCCAGGCTTGCGCGCATCGCGGTCCCCAGCCTAACAAGATGGTACGCCTCGTACCCGCCGCACACCATCGTCAAGATGCCTGCCCTGTCCCCGACAATGACAGCGGGAAATATTGGCGCGTGGAACAAGAAGCCTGGCGACTCTATCTCGCCCGGCGAGGTGCTCGTCGAGATTGAGACCGACAAGGCCCAGATGGACTTTGAGTTCCAAGAAGAGGGTGTGCTTGCGAAGGTTCTGAAGGAGACCGGCGAGAAAGACGTCGCCGTTGGCAATGTAAGCTTGCGCTGATTGATTCACCGCGCCGACGAGATGCCGAGATGAACCACGTATCTAACTTAGCCTCTTCCCAACAGCCCATCGCCGTCATGGTCGAGGAAGGAACCGATGTGAGCGCCTTTGAGGGCTTCACTCTCCAGGATGCCGGTGGTGAATCGGCCGCTCCCGCCCCTGCTGCGAAGGATCAAGACCAGCCAAAGTCCGAGGAATCGTCCACTCCGGCGCCAACTCCTGCCCCCGAGCCCGAGGAGACCGGTTTCGGCGGCAAGCTTGAGACAGCCCTCGACCGTGAGCCCAACATTTCCGCTGCAGCCAAGCGGCTGGCTCTCGAGAAGGGCGTGTCCTTGAAGGGCCTCAAGGGCACCGGTCCTGGCGGCAAGATCACCGAGGAGGACGTCAAGAAGGCGGCCTCGACCCCGGCTGCCACTTCTGCCACAGTCTCGGGCGCTTTGTACGAGGACATCCCGATCTCGGGCATGCGCAAGACGATTGCTTCGCGCCTTAAAGAATCCGTTTCTGAGAACCCGCACTACTTCGTCACCTCCTCCCTCTCCGTCTCCAAGCTCCTGAAACTCCGCCAAGCCCTCAACAACTCTTCGGAGGGCAAGTACAAGCTCTCGGTCAACGACTTCCTGATCAAGGCCATGGCGGTGGCCTGCAAGAAGGTTCCCGCTGTCAACAGCTCGTGGCGCGAGGGCGTCATCCGCCAGTTCAGCACGGTCGACGTCTCGGTCGCCGTGGCGACCCCTAACGGGCTCATCACGCCCATCATCAAGGGGGTCGAGGGCAAGGGCCTCGAGAGCATCTCGGCGGCCGTCAAGGAGCTCGCCAAGAAGGCCCGCGACAACAAGCTCAAACCCGAGGAGTACCAGGGCGGCACCATCAGCATCTCCAACATGGGCATGAACCCGGCCGTCGAGCGCTTCACAGCCGTCATCAACCCTCCCCAGGCGGCCATCCTGGCCGTCGGTAGCAACAAGAAGGTCGCCGTCCCAGTCGAGAACGAGGACGGCACAACGGGCGTCGAGTGGGACGACCAGATTGTCGTCACGGCCAGCTTTGACCACAAGGTCGTTGACGGTGCGGTCGGCGCTGAGTGGATGCGGGAGTTGAAGAAGGTCATTGAGAACCCTCTTGAGCTGCTGCTTTAAACCAAATTGTTATTTGTACTTGTACATTGACCTCCCATTAATGCGTTCAGGGTTGTTTAATCAAGCATGGAGTTTTGGCCAGAATACAAGATCCTACCATCTTGGGAGAGAGACCTGAAGAACCCAAGAGACGTCTGAAGTTCTTCACGAATCTAAGGCTAATTTCGAGCCATAAGTAAAAGCCCACCCTGCTTCCGCCTGGTCACGTAGCAGTTTGTTCCCTCCGACCTGCAAAAGTGTTTTGGGTTGTCCAGCTGCAAACGGAGCGGGGGATACGATGGTTTATCGATGGCCGGATGGCTGGCATGGTCAAGCAAAAGCCCGCACCACTCGCCTGTCTCGGGACAGATGAAAAGTCCGGGCTTCCCGCAGGTACGAACCGGATGCCCTTTAGCGGGCCGGAGGTTGGTGGGGAAAATCGCTGTAGAACACTGTCGGGATGCGAAATCTCCTTTATCTCCGAAAATCCCGGCGGTCTGGCACGCCCCCTGGTCCTGCGATTCCAATGTCTGCCCCTTCTCAAGTTACCGATCGACTGGCCCTTGGAGATGGTTTCGAATTTGTGTTGAGGTGCGGCACACTTTCCTCGAGTGTCGCGCCCGATGGCGGGATAAGCCAGCATGCGTTGAGCCCGCTGTGTTTCGGGTTGGTGGCCTCAGAATTCGTGCTTGGCCTTAGAAAACTCCGGCCTTGACAGGGGTTTCCGAACAGCACCCAGCCGCCATCTCGAACTTGTGAGCTAGGTGTGCGATCGAACTATTGGATCAGCAACAGCTATAGGCAGGGGGATCTGAATCATAGATCTGGGCTGAAGCTAAAAGAGAGGCTCATACGAAGTGCTTCTTATCCGTTAAATCTTTAAAACTACCACTACTTTACAGAGGCCTTAATTAGTAGAACATATAAAGCTAGAACGCATAGTTCAGAGCTAGAAGACTAAGGTTTTTACAGCTAGATTCTTCTTAAATCTACGAGCAAACCTCAGCGTTATCTTTAATACTACTTTTAATTGAGCTCTTGACTAATTATACTTGAGATCTAAAAAGAGACTACTATTAGAGATATAAAGTTAGCTAAGACTCTTTGAAAGAACTTAGCTTTAGAAAGGGCCTTAGGGAGGACTTTATACCTATAGGCAAAAAAAAGGCCTGTGAAAGACTATTATTCTAGATCTTAATAGTGCTCTATACTAAGTGTCTAGAACTACAATAGTATTCTTTAACGTTTGAGAAGGCTAAAATAGTAGTCCTAATAGGTTGGAAGCTATCCTGGAAAGCCTCCTGCTAGGCAGTGAAATGAAAGCTGAGGACTTAGGACTCTGCTCTATTGAGAATCATAGCCTAGAAGTGAGGTTAAAGCCTCGCCTGGGCCCAAAAGGTCTACTGTAAATGTATTCGCAGGGCCATAGCCTATGAGGCCTCCGGTGACTACTAGCCGACGGCTCCAGTAGGGAGTGGGGAGAAATAAGCTATGAGGACTTGCGAAGGCTCGGTCAAAAACTTAGAACAAGAGCCTTCATATAGTAGTAGGGGCCTATAAAACGGCTCCCACTAAATGCTTAGAAATAGAGGCCTAGGTGCTACCGCTAGACCTCTAGCTCAATAAATAGTCGGCTGACTTTGAGGAACGACCACGCAAGAAGTCTCTATAAAAAGGGGCTGGGCTAGAAGAGGAATGGACCACTGCAGAGCAGTTAATTGTAGAGGCTCGCAACAGGATCTACTATAGGTTCAGAAGGAAGAAAAGAGGACTAGGACAGAAGTCTAGATAGGGCTCACAGAGGTCAATGGTCACTGAACAGGCCACTATTACAGTGAGCTAGTAAGCTAATCAGAGATGGAAGTAGGACGAAAAAAGAACAACCGTTGAGTACTTACGAAGTGGTAGAACTGACCTAGTAGGCCTGGTAAAAACAATAGAGAGCTGGCATATAAGGGGCTAAAAGCAGGAGAATGGCTGACCAAGACCCCTCTAATGCTTCTCTGTACCGACAAAGCCTTGAAGAAATATGAGAGCTTTATGACAGCCGAGAGTACTCTCATTTCCTAGGCTCATATAGGGAATATAAACCTGCGGGACTACCTATTCAAGGTTAAGGTCCTAGAAGCCCATACCTCTTACTGCGAGTATGGCGAAGGCAGAGAAATCGTAGAGCACTTAGTGGTGTGGTGCTCTGACCTACCGCTACAGAGGCCGTGAGAGCAGCGGAAAATTCAATCACATCGAGATTCACAGACCATATTATAGGAGGGTAGATGCCTGCAGTACTAAGCTTGCTTGAAAGGTTCTTAACTGGCTGATAGACTTTGGATAGCTGCTGGAATATAGCTTAGCCAGAAGGCTAGAGCTAGAAATACCAGAGGACTAGAGGGCCCAGAAGGCTGGCAAAGAACCTCCTTTATTTCGTAGTAAGTTAGATTCATATATAGTGGCTATGTAGCAGAGGAGAGAGGTTTTTATCTAACCTATACGGTACGGTTTCTTTTGTACATAGCAGTAGAGGGACCGGCGCGCCTGCGAGCATATCGATATAAGAAACAATAAAAATAATAATATTAGGTAGCTTAGTAGCTTATAGTAATGTGGTCTACTATTGAACGGAATATTTTATTAACTAGAATGCTTCTTCTTCTACTATAACTAACTACCTCATTTCAAGTTGTATCTGCTCTACTACAATAATGCAATGTCTGACAGCTTTCTAGAGAACCGAGTTCTTCTCGCGAATAATGTGATTCGGTTAACACCGCACTTGAACATCTAATGCGGCATATATATATATATATATTGATCTTATACCGCAAGGGCAGTCGCCCCGCCCCATTCGGGCAAGCGATCCCTCGGGCGCTATTTTTGTAACGGGCTGGGCCCGGTGCGAGCCTCGGCGACTCTCGGC